TAGACAGAGAGAAGAAAAAATAAAAAAAAGATGGACAGTTGGAGATGGCGTCGATAAGTTCGACATGAAACTGACTCGAACAGGCGCTATAAATACCAGTTGTAGTGGGCGGCAGGGCGGCAGTTAAATTTCATCTGCCAAATCGCGAGTCTACCGAAACAGTGGAACTTCGTATGCGCTTACAGCGGTTTCATCAAATCCGCATTTCGCTCAAGCATAATAAAGTCGGAGATTAAAGCAATGCGAAATCATAAAAGTTCATCAATAAGGCAATAAGAAAACAAAATGTTGCAAATTATATTTTTTATAGTATAACTAAAAAACATAGAAAAAAAAGAAAAACTAAGCTTCAAATGGAAGCTGATGGGAAATCTTAGAGATATTCAAACATTACAAGCTGAGAAGATTTAGAGGAATTATAGATATAACGATGATGATGATTTCCTTGAATTGCGATTCACTTGAGAGACAAAAAAGTAAATATTTTAATTTTCTTTTGAATATGCAATGCGATAATTAAGCAGCAAAGCAAAACTATTAATTAATCAATTGCAGTGCAGCCATTAATCAAAGTCAGTTAACAAGATGTTCTTAGGGCTGCTCAATTAATGTTTTTTCTCTACTTTGGTCAAGTTGAGTGCCATTGGGTGAGACGCTTGATAGGCGTAGAGTAGAGAGCAATCGTCGTTAGCAAATCAAATGGATGTTAGTCGCTCTGACAGCTTGTTTACATCAACATCTCGGGAAGTGGGCAATGCGGCAATGGCCCTCCGATAGGCCAGCAAACGAAGCAAAATGAGCCTATGCGGGCGCATTCCACAGCCGATAAGCCCCGCACGTAAGGCCCCTGGCCAGCCGCCACCCACAAATGGTAAAAGTCGGCTCCAGTTTTGGGCCAAAACGGAAAGTAGTTAGCAGCCAAATGGCTTTTGGTTATTTGGCTGGCCGCCTCCATAGAGTATGTGCCCCGCCTCGCATACCAATATGGAAAGGACATTATGTCAAATGCAAAATGGAACCACAGATTAACCATGGTCCATGGCAAAGGCATTGGGCAGCCTGCACACGTGTTGAGAGCTGCCAAATGGAGCTCTGTTTGTTGCTAACGGATTCACATTTCAATTAAATATTTAGTGCCTAAGCCAATCCCCCTCCCCCTGCTCTACCCCTTTAAATAATTCAATATACAAATCCATACAGAATGTTCCATAATTTACTTTACGTGACCCAAACACAAAAATTTCCTATGAATTTCGAGCAGTTTCGACAAGTTTCAAATTTCCAAATTGCCCTAGATGCAAAGTTGTCAGAATTCAGTATGGACAATGAAATATATAGTGGAAAATGCAGTAGCGTCAAATTCAGGTAAAGACAGTGGTTGCAATCACAGCAATAACTGAATGAAATAAGCCAGAAACAATTCTTAACTTCTTCATTTTTTTTTCCTTATGAATACACAGAAGACACTTTAACAAGAATGCAATAATTAAATGCAGAAATTTGAATTTTTCAAATCAAATGTATGAATAAGATTTTATAAGTTAAGCCACTTAAATATTCGGCGTTAGCTTCAACCTTAACTTCAAAAACCAAATATGTAAAAGATTTTTTAGCGCTGTGCCAAAAAGTCAGCTGTAAGGCCAAGGCACTTTTTGTATAAAAGACCAATAAGCCTAAACTCCTGGTTAAATTTACCTAATCGCGTGTCAAATAAAACGCCTTAGGGATATTTTAGTGAAAAATCATATCAAATAATGTTTAAATCGTATTCAACTTCTGCTTTTTACCTGCCAGACAAATACAACATAATCTGTAAAAATATATAAAAAAGAAAAACGAAGTAATAAAAGACCGAAATCCGAGTTTGTTGCGCCTTTCAAACATAGAAGTATCAAAATTGGACGCGGATGCGGATGCGGATGTGTGCGAATTCGGCGTATGCTGCGGATGCGCTGCCTTCTGATTTGGCCTTCTCTTCTCGTCTGTTTTTTTGTTTTTCTTTTCATTGTGACACCCAAAAAGCCAATAACGTCGCGTTTTTCGCTGCCGACGCTGATGGTGACAACCACTGACATGCTGCACACATACACACACGCACAACCACACACACACACAAATTCGAACAAACTGGAATACACACGTGCAAACGTACATGCAGCCTGGGGGCCTTTGGATAATGGGTTCGTGGAATAGTGTGGACCCAGTACGAGGCGACCCATCCGCTCAGTCACCCTCCGCCACACCATGCCGTCTGCCCGTCGAAAAAAGCCAAAAGCAAATTTGGCACAGTGTCACACGTTATTGGTTTTGTGTCGTTTTCTAGTGTATCGATTTGACGGCCTGCATGGCGACCCGCTGCTCTGAGCCTCTCGGCTGCTCGTTCCGCTGTGGTTTGTTTGGGTTCCTGTTTGTTTTGTTGTTGTGTGCTCGTCCTGCATCCAGCTCTTGTTGCTGCTGGCAGGAAATTGTTGTATGCAAACATTACATTTTTAATAGGACTTCTTTTGTGCGCTTGTTGTTCTCGCCGTTGCTTGTGGCAGCCATTTGAGCAGTTTATCCATGCCAAAAATATAAAAAAAGAAGCAAACAAATGTTTCCAAAGCCCGGCTTGACAAATGCGCACAGCATTTGCAGCAAAGCTGTCACGGATTAAGGCAAAATTTTGATTTGTTTACTCCGCAATTGTCACTACGCTTTAGTTTACATTTTGCTATTTATAAAAATAATGTTCTATTTAGTTTGCAGTCAATAAAAAACTCATCGAACACATCAAACAGCTCCCAGCGCTGCTGGCCAAATAAATTCAATTGTCGCAAATAAAAAATAATTTACTTAAAACTTCAACTTCCATGAGGCGAAAATTCATTTAATGCCAAATATTGAGCTGAGTGGCATAAGTGCAAAATATGTATAATAGGTAAATTCTGAAAATAAAATAAGTTAAATTGCATTGTTCTAAATTTCGACTCCGTCAACTCATCGGAACAACTTGATTTTGTATAATTTGGAGCTTGGAGAACTCTCTTCCCTCCCCTAACATTAAAACAAAAACATTTCAAATGCTATTTGACAAGCTTTTGTACGCCATAATTATGTCTTATGTTGTTGCTGTTGAATAATAGACTAGAATAATTGGAATATCATCGCTGCGCAGGGTTCAGGCTTAGGGCATTAGGGCAGTAGCAGTTCAACTGCCTCGCACTGAAATCTGTCGACTGATCTAAGCTAAAGAAAACTATCCAGTCTGTCAGCTGGATTACATTAAATGATCTATAAATAATTGACTGCAACCTAACTATTCCAGAAACGAATGCTTAAATGCATTTTGAGCGAAATTCTATATAAATTGGGAGTCGCAGTCATGCCAAATTCCATAACATTTAGTCTCTTTCTAGTCTCGGCTTAATCGCTATATCGATACAAATTAGCCAACATATATAATGACATTAGATAAACAAGCTTCAATGCAATTTTCGAGCATTTAAGGCCAGCCGGCAAAATAATTAAAGTTGGGCCAAAATAATGAAATATTTAGCGTTGCAACGCACCATTTGCTGCAGCACAAATTAGATGATTATTTAAATTCGATTGTTTCATTTGCGAGGCGGACAGTACAACGGGATATGACTGAAATAATAAATTGCAGCGTCGACTGTGCGACAACTGGACGACATCGTCTGCAGTTGCTGTCCGAAAAGTTTTGCAAGCCAGTTCCAGTTCTAATTAGCGCTCTCGAGATATTCAACACTCAGCGTAATTAAATGGAATTTTAAGCGTTCGGCAGCGGCGTCTTTTAATTACCACCCAGTTGCTACTGCTGCTGCTGCTGCTGGCTCACAAGATAGTGTGGAAATATGCAGTAGTTGGCAACTTCATAGCGACAAGCTACAACAGCAACAGCAACAGCTACAGCAGCAGCTTAAATGACGGCCAACTTTTTGGTAAACGGCAAAACTTGGCTGGCACAAATTAATCATAACTTTGGAGGCTGCCGCTGCTGCTGGCGCATCGGAATGCAATACGCGTAGCACACGCATAGCAACCCCTCTCATATCATGGAACACTGCTACTTAGGCCATTAAAAAATGGTTAGGCCTTTCATAGAGCTGCGTTGAGGTGCATTTCATTTCATTTAGCTTCGTCGTCGTAGTCGACGTCAGTCATCTCTCAAATAAATTTCAGCGCGTGCACATTTATCAAAATGGGGAAACTTTCGAGCTGCAGCTACAGTTGCGCAGCGTTAGCCAACAACCCTTCGACGCTTTTCATAGTTATTTAAAAACTTTTTCTAACTTCCCTACATACACCCCAGAGCATCGTTGTTTTGAGCTGAGAAGCGAGACCGGGTGAACGTTGCCGTCAAGTAATGCAGACTGGCTTAGTAAATAGCCGAAACAGGCATATGATGGAGGGCTTAAGCGCAGCCTAAGGACTATTTACCTCACTTAGAATAAAATTAAAATGCCCTTTTAGCCAGATGACTTGCCTTTGCTTTGGCATTTATAAATGGCTAACGGCTAATCAAATTCAAATTTGTGCGCTGTTTGACATACAACTGCTTAGTGCATGGAAACTCGAACTGCTTGACCACTGTTAACTGCCACATGCCAGACAATATTTGCTTGCTATGACGAAGCAGTGCAGAGCAAGCAGGTTACTCTGACCTCACTTGACTTGACTTGACAGCTTAAAACAGTTCGAAAACAAAGTTTAGTTTTTTATGAAATAAAATATATAAAATATAAACATTATAATTAATACGCATCAATTACTATTTAACTTTCAGTTTATGTAAGACTTTGTTTCGTGTTTAATTTTTCTTTCGCAGTAAATTACAGAGAAATGGCGCGTTTTGAGAAACGCAAATCGTTATTGCAATCGCATAAACATTTTAAATAAATACAAAATTTAAATAAATAATATAAATAGCTAAGACCTAGTTTGAAGTAAGCACATAAATTAATTTAATTTAATAAGTTTAATTTACTTTAAGTCGTCCAGTCACTGTGCAATCAACTCGTAGCAATTCGCCACGCCTTAGACCTCATTGCACTCCAGATACAGCTGACGGCAATCAAAGCCGGAGCGCCCTCTGCGTCCAGCATCATACAGATGCTCGAAGCTGGTATTGCTGCTGCGGCCCAGCATGTAGCTGGTGGCATAGCTGTATAAAAGAGGGTTTACATACATATAGTTATTGGTGAAGCCGGCATAGATTAGATGAACTTACGATCCCAGTTGGCAGAAGATGCTGCTGCCGCCAATTTCGCGCACGCAGTCCGTGTTGGCATCGCACATGTAGCGCTGCATGCACTTATCCTCCGCGTTGCGGTAGGTGCGAACGTAGCCCTTGAGCAGCGCAATGCCGGCGACGGCTGCATCGCTAACCGAGTCACGTTTGCCAAGGGAGCGGGCGGTAAGCGAACGGTGCGAGAACGAGGTCTTCAGAGCGTCCAGCAGATTCATAACGATCTGTATGAACTGTGAATGGGAGCGTCGAGAGTTGGTACAGTGTGTTGGCAAGGAGTGTGTGTGTATGTAAGGCGCGGTAATAGGGAAGCATTAGTTAATTAGTTTTGTGCCAATAACTATATATATATATATGAATTGCAGTGTAAGTATGTGTCTGTGTATGTGTGTGTGACGTGTATTCTGTGTGTACTTTAATTTACATTGGCAACACTATGCAACAAGGCAAAGCTGATGTTAAGTATGTATTAAAGGTAAAATTTTATAAACTTTCAACTGCACGGCAAGTCGCTGACAAAAGCTGCTTGATTTCATGAGTGGCTGTTGCGAATAGAGTTAACTGCTTGCATTCCAGGCACACCGTGAACTGCTTGAAACTTTGGCCAATCCACAAGTAATAGCTGAACTTATTAAAACATGTGTGCGCCTTTGTTTTGTTGCATAGTGCCTGCTCGTTTGGGTTCGGTGTGTAAGCAATAATGGTTTTACCTCGCCAGCTTGCTTGGCCATCGAGTTGACTTGATCTGGATCTCTGGTGCCCAGCACGGATGACAGCACAGCCGCCAAGATGCCCTGTGCGAATTAGTTTTAGGTTGAGGAACAGTAGGAAATAAATACATAATACGAAACACAATAAACAAACAAAAATAAGAAGAGAAAGAAACCAATTACCAGATGAGTATAAATATAAGTATAAAACTAACTGAAAGCGGCCAAAACACACCTCCAAGCAAATGGCACAAAAGCAAAAGAAAACAGCTTAAAGACTATGACGGAAAGGCCAATTACCTGCATGGGAGAACCGCCGTTGTCGACCTTGTCGATGCCGTCGCTGGGCGCGCCGCCGCCCAAAAGCGTGTTAATGATGCGCAGGCCTAAAGGAGAAAAGGCAATCAGCTGTATTGTAGTGTGTGCAGTTTGTGACACCTACCCATGGAAATGACATTGGCCCAGGGACTGCCACCCAAGCCAATCGAGCTGTCTACATCCTCGGACTTGGTCGGCGCATTGGCGGCTCCATTGAAGAACATGGTCATCACCGTGGACAGCATGTTAGACCAGGTGAAGCCACCAGGTCCGCCCACGGTCTCCTGTATCTGATTGCCCTCGATATCATCCTCGATGTCATCCAGCGCCACCTTTTTGGAGGCATTCGGCTTCACGGCATACTTGCGTCCGGTGCTCTCGGGCCGATAAACAGGCGACTGCGATTGAGACTGGGACTGGGACTGGGCCAACTGTCGCTGGTAGAGCTCCTGCTGGGGAAAGGCGTAGGTGAGCAGCAGGCAGTTGCTAGCCACTATGAAGAGCAGCAAGTAGGCGTGTAGTTTGCGTTGATTCAACATGGCGCTCTGTTTGCAAAATAGAAAAGGAAATAAGCGGATCAAGTTTGTGTCTTCAGTCTTTCGTTCGCGCATTTCAAATTTGTGCGAGACCCCAATAGCAAACACTTTCACATAACGGGTTGCTTGAACCTGCGCACGATTCGGGCATGCAAATGAGTCCGCTAAATGTAATTGAACAGCGATTGATCAACAAAAAAGTGCCCACTGTTCACGTGCAGTTACATGAAACAGTTGGCCTAAATCATGCGCCGGCTGCATGCGTGTTCTCATTTCCCCCTTCGTCAGATGATATAATACAAGAGTCATACTAACAATTGAAATGCCCAAATATATAGTTTTGAATAACAATCATAAACAGAATCCATTGTCAGTGAGAAATCGTAATGAATTCACACGCCAAATCTAAGCTTCAATGGAAGTAGAAAATATGAAAGTTGTCGAGCGTAATTAAGTTTAGAGCGAACAACTTCCGAATTAAAAGAAAAAAACAAGTCTAACTGCGCGCAATTAAAGCGCCAGTGTCTCGGTCATGCCGAACCTGTTCCCCAGTGGTAGAGGCCATATTAGAGAGCAGCCAAGAAAGCGACCAAATTGTTGAAGACTGGCAAGTTCGAGGCAAGACAATACCCAAACAAAAACATAAAGCTTCACTTAGAGATATATATACACTGAGTATGTAGGCAACATATATTAAGTACTTGTTAGGCTCAAAGTAAGAAAGCCGCCGTGAGAGGTGGCAAAATGCAATTAGAGTCATAGAGTAAGACTTCCTGTAACTGGAGCTTAAACATATATATAACAGACACACTCATACACACACACAGATATATATTTATGTGTATGGCTCAATATTCAAATAGAAAATTATCTGAGACTTCTTAGCTGTGTGAGCTAGAGCTATAATCTTTCAGTCTCAATTATCAGTGTGTTTAGTTTTTCTCAGCTCCAAGAACCAGTTCAGCTGTAGCGGTTCTTCCACAGACACATACAGAGAGATGTCATGCAGCATATTACCGTTAAAATATCATAATGAGTGTGCAGCAGCTAGAGCCGCAAAGAATGCCAATAGCTGACCATGCCGCCTGGCACATGCGATTGGGATTGCATTGATTTCCATTTAATTGCCCAACAACCTGTTCTGCGCGCAACCAATCTGAAAAACAGGCCAACATAATGGGTCAGCAGCAGCTGGCACTTCTGCTCTGCTAACGGCTATCAGATTTGCCATAGAAATGTAAATTGTTTTAACCGGCGATCATTAATCAACGAGCGACACAGTTCAACTCAATGTGGATCGCTTTTATAATTATTGCGCCTATGTAAATTTAGAAAGCTGTTAGGAACGTGCAACAGCACTTTGCAACGGTCAGCGTGCTCCATGGGAACGTGTCTTCTTCTCTGTGCTCTATCTGTTGGAACGTGAGAACGCATGAATCTGCCTGGATCTCTTGAGAATCTCTTGAGATACTTAAAAAGATAATGCACATATTTTCAGCATATAAAAGAAATATTAGTATCTCTAACTAATATATATATATATATATTTTAATTAAACTCACAGTTAGACCTTAAATATCTCATGTGGATCATGATATAATATTCTTATAGCATACATTGCTTTGCTTCTGTAATTAGCGTTTTATACGCATCAGCGCTTTTGACATGATATATATTTAGCTTGCATGTATATATATGAAAATTAATTGAATTTTGATTGGGGTATTGTGGCTAACTATGTTATATGGTTAATATTTTACTCTCTTCGCAGCCAGGCACGCAACTCTTACTTTCACGGCCAGCGACAGCAGCAGCCATTGAAGAAGTATTTGCTTTATTTGAACCAACAAACATAACTGTAACCAATAGTAGAAATACTCTTCATAAATGCGTCGACTAACCGCAATTAAACGTATTTTTTATATTTTATAAATACAATGCCAAATTGACTTGGACACAGAAAATTAGAAAGTGTAAAAAATAAACCGCAAAAAACGAAGCACGCGCTAAATGCCAAATAACGGGAGTTAGTTGGTGAGGGCTGGGTGTATCCAGGTGTTAGCTGGCGGTTCTTTGGTCAAATTACATTTTATCCTCTTGCGTCGCTTCGATGCGCGTTTCATTTTCAATGCGGTCGGAAGCTAGGCACGGTCCAAAGTCGAAGCTGAGAAAGTTTCTTCGTGATTTGCGACTCGCCTTATAAATTTCCTTTGCATAAGCATCCATTTATATATATATCTGAATATATAAGCATGTGCGGTTAGACGCTGAATCATTCTGTGAGAGCAAGATTATCTTACAGTGGTTGTTGTTGTCGCGGCTCATTTTCGGTTAACAACAGCACAGCGCTGTCATCGACTGGTTTTGCGCCAAGAGAAACTCGAATGTGAGTTTTGTGTATACGAAAACTCGCGTGTGCTTTGTGGCGTTTCACTTTCTTTTTGGCCAAGAATTCGAGTACCTTCAGGTTTATTGACCACAAAAAATACGTATAGAAAAAACTAAAAGTTAGTCAGGCGAAGGCGTAAATCCCGTTTGTAGCTAAGCCTTCCGCTGAACTTTCCAGCGAGTTCGCGTCTTAAGTCTTTTGTTGCGCTCAATGGCCAATTGACGCAGTACGACGTGCCCAACCTAACGGCACACTGTGTCGCATTTAAATTCGGTTGGGAAAATGTGACATTTCTTTCAACAGTTTTGATGGGCTATTTGGTAACAGGTGCCAACGGGTTTCCAATGCAACAAATTATGCAATGCGCTGAGCATAATCGAAGAGCCCTTTCATATATATAAACACATATAAATATATTTATATATTTAAGATTAGGCCTTGCCAAGATTAAAGGAAAGTTGCATGTGTCATGCAACAGCTGCAGCAACTGCATTTGCAGCAAGTTTACTTTTACCTGACCCCAATGGGCACATCACACTTAAGCGTCATGAAAGCAGAACCAATTGCAACTCTTATTATTATTATTATTATATTTTTTGTGAATTATATGTACAGTTGCACTCGAAGCCCAAATTGCAGCTGTCACGATTTGCTAGACAATTGACAGAGTGTGACTGTGAAGATCTTCAAACTACAAATTATAAATATAAATTAAAATAAATTTGCACATTCTGCATAAATTGAAATCGAACTATATATGAATTCAATTATTGCTTTTGAAATATATTATTCAATAATATTATGATATATATTATTATAAAAGTCAATGATATAAATCATATAGTACTTTTTATTTATAATTCTATATATATATAAAAAGCTTGAACACAAGCTATGCTTCACTATATAAATATATATTTTCTATTTTATTTGCCAGAATATTGTTTCAGAAAACTACATTTTTCTCATAGAAATCGTCTCTGAATTTTCTATGAAATACAAAGTATATAAAACTATAATTAAATTATTTTAAAAAATGTCTTTAAATATTTTTATTCTATGAAGTATTATTTGCTATTACTAAAGAATATATATAAATTATACTAAACTTTTATATATTTATTTATTTACTCCTTATATACATACTATTATACTATATATATATATATATATATATATATATATATATATATATACATATAGTTCATGTTCATGTATTTTAAACATTTTCAATAGCTTTCAATTATTTTGTAATTATATTTTGCCGGCAAATTATGATTTTCTTCTGTGGCTTTTATAATAAATATTATTAGGCTACGCAATTGTATATGCCTCGTTTAAAATCTCATTGAAAAAGAAATATTTTTCCATATTTATAAATAAATGTACTATCTAAAGGCAACAACACTTGCTATAAATTTAGCAGTTGGCCAAATTGATTGAACACGCTTTAAGCGTCTTGAAGAAAACTTTCACCTCCAACTGGGCAACAACAACAACAACAACAGCGGACCATGTTGACAAAGTAGAAGCCGCAAAATGCCAAAGAAACGAACAACAACAAAAGCCACAAACAAATGTCTTGCATGAATGAAAGTTACAAAAAGACTTGCTTTAGCCTGCGTCAGAGGGGCCTGAGGTAAGAAGTAAATAAATAAATGTATATAAATATATATGGAAGTCAAAATCATGGAGTTTATATGACAAATTGAGCAAAGCAATGTGGTTGGAAAATGGGTTAAGGCATACGACAACTAGATATGTTTAGCAAGTGAAAGAGAGAGACAGTTTGCCTTTTATGGGCAATTAATAATGTATAAAACAAACATTGAATTCAGCTTTGGAGTCAAATCAAATACGCAGCCTCAAGCAAGGCGTTAATTGGCATGCCAAAAGAGCCACAAAAATGGGCTCACATACACATATATGTGTCTGTATATTTTATGTTATATGCATAGACTGTGCTGCTATTAAGGTGCGGGCTTTGAAATTCTTTTGCCACACATTTGGGTCAATGGGTGGCCCAAAAAGTGGCTGGCAGTGCAGCTCGATGTTTGCGGCTTGCCTCAATGCACCTTTCCATACGGCTGTCAATGCGTGCGCCAGTTACAGACTGCCTCTCCCCTGCTTCTGGCCAGTCCATAGCACGACCAGGTGCTAGCTCGTCTGCCTGTCTGTCCGATTCTTTAACTCCGTTGCGTGTGCTTTGTTTGCTTTGGCTTTTTCATGCAAAGTTGCTAACTCGCTTAACGAAAAATTTCTTGCTGGCCACTTTTAAGAATTTTATGCTTCAGGTTCTGTTATTTCGTTGACCTAAATATTCGTCTAGCATTTGCTGTTATTTCTCCCAGTTGCACAAATAGTCGGCTTATCGATTTGGCTACATATTATGTGTGGCTAGCTATCAAGATTACTCGTTCCAAAGCTGATTAGTTGCCTTCATTTTCAATGAAGTATTGTGAACAGCAACTGACAAAATGCCAAATGCCAATCACACATGAAATTAAATATCGGCCCACTGCATCTAACTTAATTGGACTACAATTCAATATGAATTGGCATCCCAGAAATCATAAACTAAATAATTAGGCTTTTCCTTCGATTGCAAGCAAAACAATTGGAGTTGAGGCTGAGTTAGTATCACAATTTCACGCAGCTCTACATTTCATTATCGAAGAAACTGCCAGGTATTTAAATTAATAAGATTAAAATGAATTGTTTCAATTTATATCAGAATAACTAAACGTGGAGAGTGCAGAAATACATAAATACAAATAATATTTAGTTGCAGTTTGACATTTCTCAAAGATATATTATATATGCTGAAATTGCCTGTTAAGACTGACTGTTCTGCAACTAAATCATTTCTGTTCAATAAATGTCTAAATGTCTAAATGTCACACATCAGCTAACGCGAGGGCTTACTATGCTCATGCATTCAAATTTAACATTTTCTAGAAAAAAATATATAGCAATTTGTATTGCTGCTTACCTGTGTGTTTCTGCTTAGCGCAGGCTGCTCAAATTAATTAAAAGTTGCAAGTGTTGCACAGGCTTGTTACGATAACGAGACTCACAGGGATCACGCAGCTTCGTTCACTCGCTCGAGATTTCGTGGCGCACGATTTGAGTTTCTCACGCGATGGTCGAAAAGGCACAATTCACCTGCAGCACTGCAATGGAGCACCACGGCAATAGTTCGAGTGTAATGTTATTTCTTTGTCTTCTCTTTTATTTTATTTGCTTTGCTCGTTGGCCGACAAAACTTTCGTTTGCTTCGAGATTTCACTACGCGTTTGGTTGTTGCTGCTGCTGCGGCTGCTGTTGACGTCTGAAACGGCGATCGCCTTGAACTTGTCTTTTTATAGCCTGACCCATTTTCCAAGCCGAAGAAATGCAGCGAACCAACCGCGCAGCCGCAGTTGGCAGCAAACTCCACGAGACACGCAACATGTTCAGCTGCGAGCGTGTTGCGTCTGCGTTGATGTCTGCGTTGGGTTCGAGCGCGTGTAATTAGCTGACTTCTTTTGCACTGTTGTTTATTGCCTCCCCTTTTGCACTACCTGTACGTGGGTGATTTACCGTTTACTTGCCTACCTGCTCAGCTCATCTTAGCCAAGGTTTCGTTTTCATTAGCCGCCGCTAATTCTCCTTAAGCTGTATTTCTGAAGTGCGCACAGCAGCTTCCGAGTCTCTTTGTTCCCTCTTAACGACTTCGTACACATTACTCAGCCGCCTTTTGTTGGCAGCAGACCGAAACTAACCTTGACTAGGATAACTTTTACAATGTTGACTGCGTCAATGATGACTGATTAAGTTGATTCATGGGTTAAACACAGACAAATTTCCAAAAAGATAAAATAGTGGCAATTTGTTAACAGTTTTAAAGAAATGTGTTTCAAATTTATGGATTTATGTGGATCAGCAAACAACTTTAAGAGTCTTTGTTTACATGTGTATTGTACCCGATACTTGAATTACTTAAAAAATAAAATAAGAAAAATTCAAACATAAAAACATATTTAAATTTCCATATTCTACTTTTGTTTTACATGCAAATGAAATATCTCAGAAAATTGTAATAAAATCTGTTTTAGTTGAAAGTTTGTTAAAAATGCGATGAATGTGCAAAAACAATTCAACTGAATGAAATGCGAAAACAATATAAAGGATTTTGTGAGCTAAGAAAGAATTTGGCCAATAGCAAAACAGAAGAAACGCAACGGAATAGTGCATACGTATGTGTGTGTGTGTGTGTGCTGGGTGGTTAAGGTGTCTGTATGGTTGGGTATATTTGCCGAGGGCTGCTGGTGCTGCATACAAATGTTGGAAGCCATGAACTCAATCTGGCCCTCACATGTTTTTTCGTCTACTTTTCTGTTTCTTCTACATTTGTGTCTTCTTGCTCTTCTTCTTTTTCGTGTTGTTGCCCCCAACAGCGGCACACGTGCAAAAAAGTTAAGCCGTTCGAGCAAAAGTTTGCCAACAGTCAGACGAACGGACAGAGTATTAGAGAACCCCTTCGAGCTCAAATCTGGAAAGTAGCTGAGCACCAGAGACAAGCCAAGAGAGAGAGAGAAAGGGGGCAGCCAATAGCGGACAGAGTGAGAACACAGACACAGACGTTCGGCAGCCAGTTGCATTTGTATGTGTTTACATTTAGTTGTATTCGATTTGCATAGCAGATTTAAGACGAATTAGAGAGGGGGCACAGAGCTGGGTTGGCTTGCAACCCAAATCAATGCCAACTCTGCGGGCAATCAGCATACTGAGCGGGCAGGTGGGAGGGGCCGATGCTTAAACGCCTTCCATGTTGGTTATTAAGTGGTCTTAAAGCCGATTGGTCAAGTGATGTGCTGCCAGTGGCTGTGCTTATTGAATAGATGTGCTTGGATTTATGCAAATCCCAACTACAGCACCTGGCCAGCTGTCCAATTGACCTGTACCTGCACAGTTTGCACTCGTATATTTGCACTGGCTAAGCCTAATCCGGGCATAATTGTTCAACATTCGTTATCTAAACTGTGACTGCTACAGTGACAGCGACAGTGACTGCTGCTGTAACTGTGACTACCCCAGCAGACTCCAATCCATGGATATGTTCAAAGCTGTTTGTTATTTATCTTTTGTATTTGCATTTGCTCTGCACATTAGCGTAATTATTTCTATGTGTGTGTGTGTGTGTGCGTGTGTGCGTATGCGTGTGCGAAAACCCGTTGCCAACAACTGTCTAAACATTGGCGCACAAATTAGTAGCTTATCATTTGTTGTGCTTATTGACTTTGGCATCCATTGCCAGAATTATGGTTTACAATAATTCAATTGCTTTGGCCCAACTGATGAATTGTGATTTAATTACGCAAATTATTAGCTAAGTTATGCTATATAAATGATACATATATTTTTGTAATCTGCAAATTTTTTTCTCTGAAACTATTAACTATTTAAGTAGATTTTATAGTCGCTTTACAAGTTTTGTTAAGTCTTTCTATTTATTTGTGGAAAATATCTTATTAAATTCACTAATTAGATAATCCCCACATTTGGACTACTCTAATATAGCTAACTAAAGGGAAAATACTGCCAGTTGCGAACCTTTCAAAGCTAGAAAGAAAATGAAATTGACTATTTGAGCGTTTTGATTGTGTATCAATTAGCGGTCATTTAAAAATTCTCTATGTATGTTTGCCCGGAGCATTAGCACGAGTAGATGTTGTTCCGGCGCCATCGCCCCTCTGGCCATACTGCAGTGCATTACCCGCGCACCCGGACAGCGTCTGGGTGAAACCGAAAAAGTGACCCACATTTCGATTCGTTTTTTCTGTGTGCGTTGCTGTTCTGTGGAGGAATGGACGGCGGGGCGGCAGGGGCTTGCAGCTGACAAATTGAAATCATGACATTAACCTCGACGTCACACACACACACGCTCAATGGCACTCACACACGTACACATGAGACAATCTGAGAGATTGTTGCATACTTTCAGGCATAAAATTTATGCACAGGCCTTGATCTATAGCGACATGTTTGGGTGCCTGTGTGTGTGTTAATATGAAATCAATAAATCGTAAGCATTCTTTTATTGCGCACCCTGCCAGACTAGAACACAAGACGAGGCCAAGCCGCTTTGTTGACTTTGTGTCTTTTTTTGTCGTTGCTGTTCGCTTTCGACATATTTTTATTTACTTTATTTGATTTTGTATAAAGGATAAAGAGGACTGCCAAGGATACCAGGCACAGCCGCGGCCTATTTCCGGCTAAGCAAGCCCTTGTGCTTTGTGAGTTTATCAACGCAGAAGCACTCGACAATCATGATGTCTGCTGACAAAGGGGTAAAGTGGGGCATAGCGACTCACTCGCTTTTATATTAATTCATATTCTCTTTTCGCTGTCCTTGACAAAATGCAACATTCTTATGAATACTCTCCTTATTGCAGCGCTTTTTAAATAAACAAGAGAACAAATTTAGGTGAAAGTAAAACTTTGAAAATGTATATAAATGGAATGTCTTAGTTAATGAATATCAGCTCTATATATTATCTTTACAACTAAAGAAGAAAAACTCTACAAGATGCATTTGTTTCTTTTTTTCTTTGAAATAACATTTTTATATATATTTAAAGTCTAAAATAAAACAATATAAATATATAACTTACGCAGTACTAGGAGTGCATAGCAAGTATTGTTTTACGTAATTTAAATATTCTATATATATTAATAATATAATTATATTAAATAAATTTATAATATAAATAGATATTTAATCAAAGTTCTCAGCATGCGAAATTTGAAGCATAGCCATAATAGATATGCGATAATAAAATGAAGTTAATCCATGCCTCATTATTGGATGTAGATATATTTGTCCACTGGCATTCGATTTGCACTACATACGTGTGCCAAACCATTTGTGCACGTTAATTAATTATAAGCACACTGGGGAGTACATTTCATCAAATTATGCACATTTTGGCAGTGTTTTGACCATTTGGCATTGCATTTATGTCGCATTGACATTGAGAAGGCTGTTGCCCAGCTCGACTGTTCGCTACAGCCATGACACTCTAACTGTCTGTAGCTTAATATCGCGTATGTAAATAGCATTTTAATTAATATCCTTGACATAAGCTTCAATGTGTGTCGGCCCTATTTCGAGGACATTCCTATTATAGAGTTGTCATGCATTAAAGACTTACCAGCTCTGTATGCTTAAACTAGCCTCTGATGCGAACCCGGAAGGTACATTTAGACCAAAAGTTCGGCTGGCAACTGCCGTTAAATGCCTGCTAGCAGCTGATGGCTGGAAAAGGGCTTCGTTTTCTGCACATGTTCGAAGCGTTTTTTATTACAATTTATCAAAAAAAAAACCTAAAAGAAAGTGGGGCAGAATCATTAAAAATGCACGCCAGAGAGCATTCGTTGGGCTCATAAACATCAAATTTGTAAGGCCGAAACATCTGTTAAGCTTTTATTGGGCCTCTACATAAGTATTATGAAATATAGAGAAAGTTTCCTGATGATACAAGTGTGGCCCCACGCCGCCATAATGCAAGTTTAATTTCCAGCTCGACACGCAAAAAAGGACTCAATAAATAACGCAACAATATTTTTTTTTCTTCTTATACATATGCTATATATATGTATCAGAGATGTATATATTTAGTCTGGAAAATGTAAAATTGTTGGCTTGGTGATTTGAGCAGCTGCTGACTGATGCCATTTGTGGGCGGGTCTGGGGCGCGGCTGTGCCGGCAAGATAAAGTACGCTGCTGTGATAAATATAACAACAAGTACCCAAGGCACGCACAAGCCGTTGCCCAATAGCCCCAAACCAGGCCAGACCAAGCCAGACCATGTCAGAGCCGGCAAAACGCATCCAAATTTCATTCAGCCCAACTACTGGTAGCGGACAGAGAGCCCATGGCAGCGGGTTAGACTGGGGACTGCCAGTTAGGATCCGGAACGGCAGCTGTTATAATGATGCCAACGATACATCATCGCAAAATGCTAAAATTTTTGGCAGCGCCGAGTGCCGAGTGCGCCGTCAACAGCTGTTACCGCTGATGAATCCTTTGGGTCCGGTTCGCTCCCAGTCGGCTCTGGTCCTCTTGCTGCCTCCTTTTCCCTTTCATCCTGCCGGCCTAATATTTCAATATTTCGCACATAAAAGGCGTAAGTTATTTTTCATATTTTCCAGCAAGCCAACCTTCCCTCTCCGCGCTGAGCGGAGCTGAGCTGCTGCATCGCTGCGCCCCTTAACTGCGTTTTTGGCTAATTTCCCCAAATAAATCTGAAAATTGTGAAATACACAACATCAGGCACATAATTAACTATCATAGAATATGCAAGGCACGCCTTTCAGATTCCAAGCTGCTCCACAATCCTCTTTTACGCATTTCAGCTCAAAAGTATTTGCCGTTTGTTTGCTGTTTTCAAAGTTTTATCAAAATTCTTCTCTCTCTTGTATTTATGTATTTTTATTTTTTTTTCTTTTGTTGCTATACCCTGCACAAAAAACATGTGTTAGGAGGTATCATAGATGTTGAAAAAAAAAACCAGTTCAAAGAGAATTACAGATGTCTTTGATCTCTACACTCAGTCTACACAGTGTCTATAATAATTAGAATTATTTTTTATATTCAAACTACACATAGAGGGAATTTAAGCGTAACTCTCATACCGTATTTATCTATTCAACTCACCTGCTAAGAGTACTCTAGTTTGCTTTAATTTGCTGTGCGTTGTTTGGGTATTTGAAATTTGCATTCACGTAGCTTTGGGACCCATCTCTCTACTGTTTCCCTCCCAGGACAACACAACTTAAGAAGCAAGAAAAGAAACCTGAATTCGCATAACACACCACAAACCAGAAATTTCTAAGCCGCTTAAACGAAATGCATGTGGGCCATAAAGTGACATTCGTGCTGGGGAAAAACCAGCTGAACTCTAAGAAAAAGGAGAGCACTAAACAGCACTCAGGAGTTAGCAGGGATTACCATTCTCGAGAACAACAATTGTACGAGAACAAAACCTAACTGCGTGCTAACGACAAACTGTAATTAAACGCTCTGCATTTTAACATTGAATCTTCATATTTCTCTCAACTCATTTCGAGAAAAACCTGTTCGTGAATAATGTTATTTGGATCATTGCTCTGAAGTATTTTGTTTATCATTTATCCAGCTTTATTTGGGACTAATTGCATTTTAATGGATAATTAAACAAAATTTAATATGCGAGTTCGGTTGAGCTTTACTTCATAACTCAAATTAATCGAGTCACGGAGAATACTCTGCAGTTGACTAGAACTCGACAGAAGCTATGACAAGTTAATGGAATAAATGTTTATTTATGAACCCAAAATGTATATAATTATGTAATATTATATATTTGAATTAAACAAATTGTTGTTAAATACTTTATTTTGTAATTTGTCGAATATCAAATATCATCAGACATTTACTTATATTTTTATTTAATTATCTTTAGAACACATTACTTACTGCAGCAAGTTAGACTGCTCTTTAAGCAATCTAATCTAACTTTAAAATCTCGCAGCTGTGACGCTTAATTAAGACGAATTGCACCTGCTCCTGTGCAATATTATTGGGAAAGACGCAATCGTCATAGGCCAAAGACCCATTGTCGCTTTCGGCAAACTCTTCTAGCATTTTAATAAAACTGTTTGATATTATTTCCTCGTCAGGGCGCAGAGGTTGCCGATATTGATTTTCAAAGAGTAGAAAGTAATCATCCCCATGTCCGGTGCCTGTAAGAAGGAGAGTTAACAAAAGTAAGTGCAATATTATTTTTTTATTTACCAATTTGAATATCATTTCGCTTTGCCAGCAATTCTGCGCCGCTACGACTCGCAGGATTATCGTAGACATAGTAGTATATGGGACTCTTGCTGTGATGGCGATGCAAGTCTATGGATCGTAGGGTGTCATTCCTAAACAGCGCATCTGTGAAAATGCGCTGCACAGCCAAGTAGTTCTCCTCGCTGAAGTTTCGATTGTCCAGATACTGCTGACGCAGGTCGCGCGAGTAGTCATCCAGTTCCTCTATAGTTTTCTTAGAGTCGCGATAAAAAAATAAATAAGGCGCCAAGTCGTACCAGCGATTGTTGAGTTCCTCGATCAGTTCCTTTCCATTGGGCTGCTTTGCCAGGAGAATAGCTGCGTTGTAAGAACCATCTTCTTGACTGTGGGAAACGAGCCAAGGAACGTGTGAAAACTTTCCACTCTTAATGATGTCAATTGGATGTTGAGTAAGGAAAGGGTCAGCCGCATCGACTGGCTCTACCACCGGTCCAAATGGAGTAAAGGGCACATAGTTAAAAACCAAGAATTCTCTTACGGCTCTCACAATTTCCGAGGCATCCCTCGCTTTCAAGCACTTTTTCAGCTCTGTTGAGTCCTTCAGTAAGCCGCAGCCAACAATTCGACCCATTTCAAAGGCGCGTCGTCGTCCACTTTGCTGCATGACCCAAGGAACTAGAGCATTCCCACTTAATGAGACGGCCGCCTTTGCGAGCTGCTTAAAATCCTGCTGCAATAGGTGTAGATGCGCCGAGGCTGCTCCTGCAGAGAAGCCAACCACTAGAATATTTCCTGGCTCTCCGCCAAACCGCTCTATATTGTCCTTGATCCACTGCAAAGCAAGCCGTTGATCTTTTAAGCCAAAGTTGCCTGGCAAAGCGCTGTCGCCACTACTGAGAAAACCCAATGGACCCAAGCGGTAGGTGATCTTTACCACAATCACATTTCCGCTGGCCATAAGTGCCTCGTGCCCGCTACCCTGTGTTTGGCCGAACATAAAGGCGCCGCCATGAATGTTGACCACTACGGGAAATGAGCTACGGCTGTAGTTTTTTGGCTTATAAATGTTGACTGTCAGACAGTCCTCGACGCCTATCAGTTTATCCACTTGATCGATTTGTTGGTTCCACTGTATGCACTCAACTGGAGGATGCGTGGCATCAAAAACTTCCGTCCAATGCTGGGAGTAGCGTTGCGGCACCTCAAAGCGAAGCTCGCCGACAGGAGGCTCTGCATAGGGTATCGACTCATAGCTATAATAAGCACCATTATCGCGACCACGAAGTGTTCCATGTGGCAGCTCAACTAAAACTGGATCTGCTAAAGTAGCAGCAGTTGCCCAGAGGCACAGCAACGAAATTCGTATTGTGTTATCTTTCATGACCCTCACTCTGTCAACTCAGAATGTGAACTGTGCCCAGCGGAGATTGTCAGCGTTTGTTTTATTTTGATTCTCAGAATGACTCTCTCTTCGCTGATAGCGTGTAATTATCTGGCCTCTGTTAACATTTGAAAGGCTTATAATAAATATTGTTTCAAAAGTTAACAGAACAGGTTTCTTATTAAACCGCTTAAATTCGGTTCTCATCGACAAATATACAATTTATATAACATATATATACATTTATTTATATATATATTTAAATATTATAAGTTTTGATTTATTTTTAACGTATGGAATTGACTTCTACTTTTTCACAGGAGTCGGACTTTATGTGGACCAAATGAAGTTTACCTTGGCCAACATTATCTTCGAACACACAATTGTCATAGGTCAACGATGCTTTGTCACTTTGAACAAAGCCTTCCAGCATGCGTATAAAATTATTAGAAATCATCTTCTCGTCTCGGGACTGACTGTTGGGCTTGGCAAACATTAGAACATAATCATCCCCATGTGCTGTGCCTATAGCATAATAATAACTTGATATTAGTAATGGCTTAGCTACAATATATTCAAATATTTTTCTGCCTTACCAAAATCAATATCATTGCGTTTGGACAAAACTTGCGCAATGCCCTGGACAGGTGGATTGTCATAGACGTAGTAGTAAATGGGACTCTTGCTATGCCTACGATGCAGATCTATGGATCGTAGGGTTCCATTCCTGAATATCAGATCTGTAAATAAAAGCTGTACGTCCAAATAATTCTCAACGCTGAAGTTTCGATTCCCCAAGTACTGTTGTCGTAGATCACGAGAGTAAGCATCCATTTCGTCAACTGTTTTCTTAGAGTCACGATAGAACAATAAGAGAGGCGCCAACTCGAACCAGCGCTGGTTGAGCTGGTCGATCAGCTCCTTTCCATTGGGCTGCTTAGCCAAGAGAGCAGCTGCGTTGTAAGCACCATCCTCTTGGGTATGAGAAACGAGCCAAGGAACTTTTGAAAACTTTCCACTCTTAATGATATCAATGGGATACTGAGTGAGAAAAGACTCAGGCGCATCGACTGGCTCCACCACTGGCCCAAACGGGTTAATGGGCACATAGTCAACGACCAGGTACTGCGACACAGCTCCGACTATTTCTGAGGCATCCTTTGACTGCAGGCACTTTTTGAGTTCCACAGAGTCGCTTTGCAAGCCGCAACCCACAATGCGACCCATCTCAAAGGCGCGTCGACGTGCTCCTTGTTGCACAGCCCAAGGATCAAGAGCATTCGCACTGAGTGACACAGCCACCTTTGCCAACTGGCTGAACTCCTCCTGCAGCATCTGTAGATGTACCGACGCACCACCAGCAGAGTGACCAAGCACCATTATATTCTCTGGTTCTCCTCCAAAGCGAGCTATGTTCTGCTTGATCCAACGCAGAGCCAAGCGCTGATCCTTGAGTCCAAAGTTTCCCGACAATGTAGCGTCGCCTGCGCTGAGAAAACCTATCGGACCTAGTCGGTATGCAATCTTCACGAGAATCACATTTCCACTGGCCATTATCGACTCATGTTCCTGCTCTGCGGGTCCACCAAACATGAAGATACCGCCATGAATATTTGCTACAACTGGAAACGAGCTGCGACTCGAGTTCTTTGGCTTGTACACGCTTACAGTCAGACAATCCTCGCTACCGATCATCTTATCTGCGCCTTCGACAAACTGATTCCATTGAATGCAGGACACGGGAGGCGTGGTAGCATCAAATACTTCCTTCCATGGGCGAGCATAGGGCTTTGGTGCCTCAAATCGCAGCTTGCCGAGAGGTGGCTCCGCATAAGGAATCGATTCGTAACTGTAATATTCTTTGTTATCGCGTCCCCGTAGTTTCCCACGAGGCAGTTCCACCAGCAGCGGATCTGTAGCGAGAACTGACCCGATAAGCACTGGAACTAGGAGGTAGTCTATAACACTCATGGTGTACACTGCGCCAGAGCTCGATACGAACTATGCTAAATTGACAAAATAAATCATCTTTTATACACTGAATATCCAAATGATCCGCGACTAATTGGACTGATGTACGAATTAGACAAACTCTGATCTTGCAAATCGCGCACATTCAAAAGCGAAATTACATCATGAAATTAGTTATTAACACTGCCTACCAGAGGTGGTGCAGATCACCGATCCACATGCGATGCTTTGTGATCTTTACTGTTGAACTGTGAAAGATGTTTCTGATTTCTGTTGAGGGCTTAGACGAAAACTTCATTTATTTTGAGTTTCAAATGTGGAACGAATTGTTATCCATTTTGTATACATTTCCAAAGACACAACAGCTATATATATTCACCTAGCCCTAGGTTATGACTCTATTTACATTGTCTATTCAATTGTATTTAATTTTAAGATCTCGCAGCTGTTGGTCTTAATTAGAAGTAATTGCAGCTGCTCCTCGCCAATATTATTTGGAAACACACAAGCGTCATAAATCGGGGACCCATTATCGCTTTGCACAAACTCTTCCAGCAAGCGTATAAAATTCTTAGAGATTATCTTCTCGTCCTCGCGGGGTTGACTAGTTGGCTTGTCAAATATCAAAACATAATCATCGCCATGTCCTGTGCCTATAAGCAGAGAAATTAGTATCAGTAACGGCATTCTTTATAAGTACTCATTATTTTGTCTTCTACCAAAATAAATGTCCTCCCGTCGAGCTAAAATTTGTGCACTTCCCCGAACTGGCGGATTATCGTAGACATAACCGTAAACGGGACTCTTGCTATGTTGGCGATGCAGATCTATAGATCGGAGGGTATCATTCCTGAACAGTACATCTGTGAATAAGCGCTGTACGTCCAAATAGCTGTCCACACTAAAGTTTCGGTCCCCTAGATACTGCTGTCGAAGATCACGAGAGTAGTCATCCATTTCGTCAACTGTTTTCTTAGAGTCACGATAGAACAGATAGTAGGGCGCCAATTCAAACCAGCGACTGTTCAGATCCTCAATCAGCTCATTGCCATTGAGTTGTTTGGCCATCAGAAGAGCAGCGTTGTAAGTACCATCCTCCTGAGTATAGCTGGTTAGCCAGGGTACTTGACCGAACTTTCCGCTCTTGATGATATCGATTGGATGCTTAGTGATGAAAGGCTCAGCTACTTCCTCGCTCTCTACCACCGGTGAAAATGGAGCAAAAGGCACATAGTCAACGACCAGGAACTCCGACACAGCTCCAACTATTTCTGAGGCATCCTTTGACTGCAGGCACTTTTTGAGTTCCACAGAGTCGCTTTGCAAGCCGCAACCCACAATGCGACCCACCTCAAAGGCGCGTCGACGTGCTCCTTGTTGTACGACCCAAGGATCGAGGGCATTTCCACTGAATGACACAGCCACCTTTGCCAACTGGCTGAACTCCTCCTGCAGCATCTGTAGATGTACCGACGCACCACCAGCAGAGTGACCAAGCACCATTATATTCTCTGGTTCTCCTCCAAAGCGAGCTATGTTCTGCTTGATCCAACGCAGAGCCAAGCGCTGATCCTTGAGTCCAAAGTTTCCCGACAATGTAGCGTCGCCTGCGCTGAGAAAACCTATCGGACCTACTCGATAGGCAATCTTCACGAGAATCACATTTCCACTGGCCATAATCGGCTCTTGGCCATGGTCCACGGGTCCACCAAACATGAAAGCTCCGCCATGGATGTTGACAACAACCGGAAACGAGCTACGACTCGAGTTCTTTGGCTTATAGACGTTTACAGTAAGACAATCCTCAACGCCGATGGACTTCTGTGCGCCTTCGACAAACTGATTCAATTGGATGCAGAAATTGGGAGGCGTGGTAGCGTCAAACACTTCCTTCCATTGGCGCTCGTATGGCTGCGGAGCTTCGAAGCGCAGCTCCCCCATAGGTGGCTCCGCATAGGGTATTGACTCGTAGCTGTAATACCCTTCGTTATCGCGTCCACGAATTTTTCCATTTGGCAGCTCCACTATCAGCGGTTCATCATTAACAGCCGCTGCCGTCGCTAGACAAAGCAAAGCGATCGAGCAAATGTCTCTTTTCATGGTTCTTACACAACCGAGACTTGATTCACACTAGTCTAGTCTCAGGCCAGTTTAGCTTTATATGCATGCAAATCAGATTAATTCTCAATTAAATCTCTAGCATGCCACAAATTTAATTATATGAACATGAAATATGAGACTCGCTCTCCTATTCTCAATAGTTGTATGACAATCGATGTGACAGCAGATTTTAAATGGTTAGCTGAATAACAAGATTACTATGATTGACATGTAAAGGGTGCTGTTTGTTCAGCCAATATATACATTCACGCACCCACTGAGTATAGCTTGAGAATAACATTGTACTGAAACGAATTATCTATTTGTGCATATATACTAGCTATTATACAAACTACTTTAATATATAATGTATGCCAATGCGGGTTAGCTGAGCTGAAAAGCAAATGCGTAAAGCAATTCATTTTTTATTTATTTTTTTATGTATTATTAAAAACTGTTTTTTTTTTTTTTTGATTTAGCGTTTCTTGCTGTGTAGAATTTGAAATGTGGCTTGTATGGTCGTTGTAATTAAAAATAAAAAATAAAAATATAAATACAAATGAAAAGCTAAATAAAATGTAATCAAAAATATCAAGTCAAGTTCACTTTCCTGATTCGATTTGCTTAAAATTAGCAATATTATCATTAGCAATTCATAAAGTTGGAAGTAGTCACAGTTTTTGTTGCTTGCGTTTTTGCTTTTAGCCAAACCAGTTAGAGTTTATTGTGGCATATCACCAATTGATATATAAAACGTTCAAAACTTTTTTATTATGTTGGTACTATGGGTGTTTTCGGCAGACTGTTGGACACGAAGTCGGGCAAGCGGTCCGCTTGTAGGTTCGTGCAGCCGGTGCGTTGGATAGCCACTAGCTCGAACTGCTTTTTGCCCACGTTGTCCCTGAAGACGCAGTTGTCATAGACGAATTGGCCCGTTTGAAGAAAACCTTCGACCATTTTCACTAGTTTCCAGGCAATGAGTTTCTCGTCGGCTCGCAGCGGCTCGCGGATTGGATTATTCATCATCAGGAAATAATCATCACCATGAGCCGTGCCTGTGGATTGATCAATTGTCATTAGTTGATACAGCTGGCCTTAAACTGTCAGCAAAAATAACTACCTAGGACTACGTCAGTGCGCCTCGCAATGAGTTGGCCAATAGATTGAGTAGCTGGATTGTCGTAGATGTACACATAGACCGGGCTCTTTCCATAAGTGCGCTGGACATCTACTCCCAGTTCGACGCCATTCTTGAACATTTCGTTTGTGAACATGCGTTGCACTTCATAGTAGTTCTCCAGACTGAAGTTGTGATTCCCCAAATATTGTTCCTTAAGCTTTCGGGAGCGTTCATCGCGTTCTCTCTTATTCAGGGTGTTACGGTACGAGAAGAAGTAAGGAGCCAGCTCATACCAGCGCGTGTTTAGCTCAAAGAGCCTCTCCTTGCCATTGGGCAACTTCTCCAGCAATGATGCCGCATTATAGATGCCTTCATCTTGGCAATAGCCTGCTAACCAGGGAACCTGAGCAAACTTGCCACTCTTGATGATGTCAATGGGTAGCTGGGTTATGAAAGGATCAACCGCATCTTCGGGTTCCACAGCGGGAGAAAACGGAGCAAAGGGGACGTAGTTGAATAGAAGGAAATGGGTAAAGGCTCTCACTAATTCATTCGCATTCACCGCCTTTAGACACGTTTTCAGAACTGCTGTGCTATTGGGAGTGCCACAGCCGAGGACTCGGCCCAATTCAAATGTTTGATCACGAGGACTTGGCTGCACTGCCCACCCTTCCAGAGAGTTTCCGCTCATGGAGTAGACGCCCCTTAAGTCGCGCATGTCCTCGTGCAGTAGCTGATAATGCACTGAGCCTGCTCCCGAGGAAAAACCAAGTAGCAACATGTTCTTGGCATCGCCACCGAAATAGGAAATGTATTTCTTGATCCACTTGATCGCCAAGCGTTGATCCTTGAGTGCATAATTGCCCGACCAGCCCGCATCGCCAGTGCTTGCAAAGCCGAGAATTCCCACTCTATGGTTTATCTTCACAACAATCACATTGCCACTCTCCATAAACTCCCTAGCTCCGTCTTGGACCGATCCACCGAATGACCAGGCGCCACCAAATATATTTGCCACCACCGGGAAACTGGTGCGTGAGGCGTTCTTTGGCTTGTAAATGCTGACGGTCAGACAGTCCTCACTGCCCGTCAATTGATCGGGTGTCGTGACAAAATGGCTCCACTGCAGGCACTCTGCCGCCGGCTTTGTAGCATCAAACGTCTCATGCCACTCTCCAACAAAGGGCTGAGGTGGCTCGAAGCGCAGCGGACCAACGGGTGGCAGTGCGTACGGCACCGACTCATAGGTATAATAGCCACCGCGGTCGCGTCCACGCAATGTCCCAAAAGGCAACTCAACTAACAGCTCGTCAGCAAACGTGGCTGCTGCGCATAGGCACACGATAAGGAAAACGATGTATTTCATAGCTTCACTAAACGGGATCACAAGTTAAACTAAAGCAGGTCTGGCTGACTCTGAGCTTTTGTGGGGAATCTTCAAACGTTTCTGCTTTTTAAACACTTTTGATTGGTTCCACTTTCATTCAACCTAAAAAACCGATCAAATATCAAATAAAAATGTGACACTTGGCCACCAATCTACACTAGCGACAGACATTTGACCAGCAATAAAAACTATAACAAATCAATGTCATTAAAATAAATAGTTTGTGAACAAAACTAATTTACTTGCAAGCGCGAAACCCTTTTCCGATTTGCTTTGTGTAGATCGCAAATATATACTTTATATTTGTGTACTGGGGTTGTCTAGACTAGTACATACTCCAAATATCTAGCACCACTAGTAAGCATGGCACTCAGCAGTAACTCATTCACTACATTGTGGACTTCTAGCTTTCAAACTGTGTCAGGCGTAGAGATATCTGCACTTACATATAAAAAATTTGGAGAAAAAACAAAATAAAAATAAAACAAAATACAAAATTTGGAGGCTCTATATCTTATGCCGTAAAATATATACATTAATAACTACATTTCGATCATTTTTAATCGATAACAATAAATCGAGAACACTTATCGATAATTTGAAGCAATTTAAAGTCTCTAGCTCTTATAGGTGCTGACAGACGGATGGCGTTGAAGCGACTCGACTTGTCGTCCTGATCAAGAATATATATACTTTATGGCGGCTGCCACGCCTCCTTCTGCCTATTACATACATTTACACAAAACCATTATACCCTGATTTTCCATTTTCAATGAGTTCAGGGTATATTTCATTAGCTCATTTAGATATATAATTATAAGATACCAAGAAAAATACTTTGCTTGAAGTTGTTTTGCAATGTATTGATTTAATTACCAACTGCACCCACTACGACATTAATGGACCCATCGACTAATTGATTGATTGATTGATTGACTTGTTAATATACATCGAATCAGTATATTACCACTGGGGAAGTTGGCAAATCGTCCGACTCAGTTTCAGGCAAATGTCTCGCTTCCACCAGCTCGCAATGAGTACGTTTGATGGCCACCAGCTGGAAGTGTCTTTTGCGTCGGTTGTCCGTGAATACGCAGTCGTCGTAGGCCAGATTTCGGGTCTCAGCAAACTGTTCTACCATCTTGATTAGCTTCCATGAAACCAATTTCTCATCAGCTCGCATCTCTCCACGCAACGAATTGCTCATCAAGAGATAGTAGTCGTCGCCCATACCCGTGCCTGTGAGCAGTTTAATAGACATAAGTTAATACAGCTGGTTGGCATCTTTGCTAAATACTTTACCCAAGAATAGATCTATTCGTCTCGAAAGTATCTGTGTGAACGAACTGTCAGCCGGATTGTCGTAGACATAAGCATAAACGGGGCTGCTGCCATACCTCCGATGTGCATCTAAGGCCACTTCGATGCCGTTCTTATACAGCTCATTTGTGAACATACGCTGGACGTCGAAATAGTTTTCGACGCTAAAGTTTCTGTAGCCCAGATATTGCAGCTTTAGTTTCCGAGAGCGGAAATTTTTCTCGAACTGATTCAAGTCCTTTGGGTAAAATAAAAAGTACGGAGCTAGCTCGTTCCAGCGAGAGTTTAGCTCCAAAATTCTTTCCTTTCCATTGGAATCCTTTTGCAGCAACAGTGCAGCATTATAGATTCCATTCTGCGTGGTGTAGCTGGCCAGCCAAGGCACTTGGGCAAATCTTCCACTCGTGATAGTCTCTATAGGAAATTCGGTGAGGAACGGATTATCCGAATCATGGGACTCCACGACGGGAATAAATGCTGCAGATGGTACATAGTCAAAGACATGGAGCTTCTGAACGGCACTAACGAAATCGTTCGCATTTGTTCTTTTGAAGCACTCTTTCAGTTCAGATGAACGTTTAAAGTTGTTACAACCCAAGATTTTAGCAAATCGGAAAGCGACCTCACGTCCACTACTTTGCACAGCAAAGGGAGACGTCGCTGTTCCACTAATTGAGATGCCGCCCTTCACTATATTCTCCATATCCTTGTGCATAAGCTGCAGATGAACCGAAGAACCACCTGTACCGAAACCAAGAAGAATTATATTCTCTGGATCTCCACCAAACCGAGCAATGTACTGCTTGATCCATTGGATTGCGAGTCGCTGATCCTTTAGACCATAGTTTCCGGGTAGTACGTTGTCGCCGGTGCTTAAAAACCCAAGTGGACCCACTCTGTAATTGATCTTCGCTACTATTACATTGCCGCTGTCCATGAAGTGTTCAACTCCATCCTCTAGCGAGCTGCCAAAGGTCCACGCTCCGCCGAAAATATTTGCCACGACTGGGAAGCTCTTCCGACTAGCGTTCTTTGGCTTGTAGATGCTGACGGTCAGACAGTCCTCGCTGCCCGTTAGTTTGTCAGGCTGTTGTATGAATTGGTTCCACTGCAGACACTCAGTCGGTGACTTGGTGGCATCGAAGGCTTGGTCCCATCTTCCTGTATAAGGAACTGGATCTTCCAAGCGCAAGTCATCGATGGGTGCCTTTGCATAAGGTATTGACTCATAGCTGTAGTAATTGCCGTTGTCGTGTCCGCGTAGTTCTCCATTTGCTAGCTCGACGAGTAGCGGATCGCTTGAGGCAGATGGTGCGCAGGCCGTTAACAAAACGATTGCCAAGATGACAGTATTCATGGCGTTATCCAAGGCAAACTGTTTTAGCCAACGAGAATCACTGCCTTTTTATGATTAGTTTGTTTGCACATGGAAAGCAGCGTCAAATCAAATCCGTTCCAAAGGCTTTCTCTAAAGAAGTAAAGAGCGATTAACAAAAATAATGAGTTTGACACTTGCAAGCAAGTAAGCTAACACATGTAGCACGTAAGTGCTGATGCCTTTCACGGTGCTTGAAATTCGCATTTGTACAGAATTGACTTTGAAATACTTCTACGTACATTACAATCTAATAATTATATAAGCTTAAATATTGTTGAAGCGTTTGGTTACAATTGTATGAAGTCATCCTATTCTAGGATGTGCTACCTGCCAACATGCAAAGAGTTGCTATCAGAAGCTGTAGTGATTTGGTAGCACCTGATTTGGTAGCATAAAAAGCAAATTATAATGAAAACTTTATTTACCCAACTTAAACGTTAAACTTAAATTATTAAAGCCATGTTCGTGTTATCAGAAACACCTTTAATTCAATCGAATCAAGTCAAACCTCTATCTTAACCAACGATCAACTTCTATTCGCAACATTTAACTGCAAACATAACTATATATTCAGCTCTTCTTGCATTCATTCCGACTCTCGATTCACTTTCAAAAGAATTGCAATAGTCACAAAGTTTTTGTTTTAATCAAAAAGAATAAGAAATGTTAGGTTTTGTGTATTTTTTTTTTGTTTTTTCTTATTCATATTGAATATTTGATGGCGACAATTAATAATAAAAAAAAAATAATTCTAGTGTAAAGGCGCTTATTGTACGACAACTGGGGATAGTGGTAGATTGTTGGACACCTTATCGGGTAAATACTTCGCTTCCAGCACTTCGCATTGGGTACGTTTGATGGCCACCAGCTGGAACTGTCGTTTGCCACGGTTGTCTGGGAACACGCAGTTATCGTAGGTCAAGTTTCCGGCTTGGGCAAACTCCTCAACCAACTTGACTAGCTTTTGTGAAATGATTTTCTCGTCCGCTCTCAAAGGATTGCGAATTGGATTGCTAAACATTAAATAGTAATCGTCGCCCAATCCCGTGCCTGTGAATCATTAAATCAAGATTAGTTTCAGGTGCCTCTATTGGCTTTTGGCATTAAACAAATACTTTACCCAGAAACAGATCTGTGCGTCTCGAAAGGAACTGTGTGAACGAGTTATCTGCCGGATTGTCGTAGACATAAGCATAAACGGGGCTGCTGCCATACCTCCGATGTGCATCTAAGGCCACTTCGATGCCGTTCTTATACAGCTCATTTGTGAACATACGCTGGACGTCGAAATAGTTTTCGACACTGAAATTTTTAAAGCCAAGATATTTCAGTTTTAGTTTTCGGGAACGGTTATCCCTCTCAGATCGTTTCCATAGGTAAGGATATGAGAAGAAGTATGGGGCTAGCTCATTCCATCGAAATTTGAGCTCTTCTATTCTTGCATTTCCATTGGAGTCCCTTTGCAGCAACAGGGCAGCGTTATAGATTCCATTCTCCGTGGTGTAGCTGGCCAACCAAGGTACTTGGGCAGATCTTCCATTCCTGATAGTCTCGATAGGAAATTCGGTGAGGAAAGCACTGTCCGACTCAGAAGACTCAATGACTGGATTAAATGCACCAAAGAGTACATAGTCAAAGACTTTTAGATGTCTTAGGGCACTGACGAAGTCGTCGGCTTTTATTTTTTTCAGGCATTCCTTCAGCTCAGTTGATGTTTCAGCGTTGTCGCAACCCAATATTTTGGCATATTTAAATGACAGCTCCCGCCCGCTAGGCTGCACAGCAAAGGGAGACGTCGCTGTTCCACTAATTGAGATGCCGCCCTTCACTATCTTCTCCATATCCTTATGCATAAGCTGCAGATGTACCGAAGAACCACCTGTACCGAAACCAAGAAGAATTATATTCTCTGGATCTGCACCAAACCGAGCAATGTTCTGCTTGATCCATTGGATTGCGAGTCGCTGATCCTTTAGACCATAGTTTCCAGGTAGTACGTTGTCGCCGGTGCTTAAAAACCCAAGTGGACCCACTCTGTAGTTGATCTTCGCTACTATTACATTGCCCCTATTCATAATAAGCTCAACTCCATCATCTAGCGAGCTGCCGAAGGTCCACGCACCGCCGAAAATATTTGCCACGACCGGGAAGCTCTTCCGACTAGCGTTCTTTGGCTTGTAGATGCTGACGGTCAGACAGTCCTCGCTGCCCGTTAGTTTGTCAGGCTGTTGTATGAATTGGTTCCACTGCAGACACTCAGTCGGTGGCTTGGTGGCATCGAAGGTATGCTCCCATATTCCTCCATATGGAACTGGATCTTCCAAGCGCAAGGCATCGATGGGTGGCTGTGCATAAGGTATCGACTCAAAGCTGTAGTAGAATCCTTTATCGCGTCCGCGAAGCTCTCCATTTGTTAACTCGACGAGTAGCGGATCGTTAAAGGCGGCTGCTGTGCAGGCTAAAGTCAATGCGACTGACAAAACTATTGCATTCATAGTAAACCGATGTACCAGGCGGAGTTCTAACTTCAACTGTTTGAACCAAAGAGAATCACTGCCTTTTATGATTATTGGAAACTTAAATATTTGCACGCTTTTGAGAAACTGAGCAAAATCGCATTGGTTCCAATTGCATCCTCTTCGAAATTGGATAGTAAAAAACGTTTAGTGAGGGGCAGAGTGCTCTTGTAGACATATTCTCCTCAATATATGTTAGTTTATCTTTCCCTTCAAAATAAATCTAGATATTGGGATCTTATGGAACGATGTAATATGTGTCGTATATTATTATCGTATATATTATAAATTATAGTTTAAAATTTCGCCTTAAGTTAGTCAATTTATTTAACTATCAATGACTCTGAAAACACGGTAAATTTAACTAGCTACTAGCTAGACTAAATAAAAAATTTACAGACTGTACGTACATGGCACCAAAGTAATATCTTCTTTTACATTGTTAAGACAAATAATAAGCTTGAATGCCAGCAGCCCAAGTGGCTCGAGCTAGGAGTAGCCAGCCGCTGATAAAAGCTTCATTAATCCCATAGTACGCTTCGGGGTCCCAACTTGTATCATCAGTAACTGGGGAGCAGTCAATGGCCAAGTCCCAGACAAATAAGCGAAGCCATTATCAACGTTCTAATCAACGATGAAGCAGATTATGATGATGATGGGGCACAAGTGGAGGGGGAAGGAGGGAAACACATGCCATCTGATGGACTGTGTGTGTATATAAATGAATTAGTTCGCATTAAGTATACGCCGCAGTGTACGCAGAAGCTAAGCAAGCATGATTTAAGAAATATGCTGGAGACTTGTGACTGCTGCTCATTTGGTGGCTGGGCTTTTAGGAGTGGGGTAAGGAGAGGTGTATGCTTAATATGTGCGCAGCCTTGATAGCTTATGCTCTGCCACTGCTCGCTGTGTGAGCCATGGAATATTAATTCGTTAAGTAATTCACAACATTTGTAACTAATGTTTGTTAATGAGCCACCCAACTACCAGCAGCGCCACCTGACCTGGCTCGAACTGGCACTGTAAGCTCTCTTTGACTAACTGCCAAGCATTGGCCGAGGTCAAGGCGTCGCCTCAACTTGAATTGCTTCTGCGTCTGGCCCACTAAATGCAAGCATTACCAAGTGTAAAAGTGAGAAAGCCAAACTGGACTCAGCTCCTGCCACCTTCTTACACACTCAGCTGAGTGTGGCCTTGAGTTGGGCGCTCGTCAGACACTTAATGAAATAATTATGTAAAAGCCAACTGCCTGCCGTTATGGCACCTTTTTGGCCAACGACGTGGCTTTCACATTCATTATTTCTTCCCACATTGCAGTTAAACGCTTTAGTTTAATTATTTACTTTGCTACAGATTGCTGGCAATATCATTTACACCTTCTATAATAAACCTTAAATTAATTACTTTTTGATGAGTCTAATTCGTTCAGCACTTTTGACACCATTTGGGTTTAGACTTTAGTTATTTTCATTAAAATTTGACAAGGAGAATGTGAATATGAATGAATATAAAGCATAAACATATATATAACATATATATAAATATATATATCAATTTATCAGTTTGTTAACTTTTCCCAAACAAAGAAGTCTATGAGTTTTTATGTGCAATTTTAAGTTTCTTATTAGCCAAAATGTTGCTTGATCAGCATGCTTAATGTATATTGATAGCTTTGGGCTGCTGGGAGTAAAAACAGATTTTTCGAAGTCTATTTTGTGTATATGGCTGTACAAGCTCCACTCTGGAGTCTCGGCAAAGTAGTTGACACAAAACTGTAGCAGCGCCAATTTAAGCGGCAGCTAAACGTGTTTATGCGGCACTACGTAGGGCTTATAAAATGCAACTATGACACAAATGCGACGCTAATCAGCGAGACAACACCCACGCAGCCTCTAGTAATGCCACCAAGGCAGAGCGCTTGTCACTGGGCCATAAAATATGCAACAGAACGTACAAAAAATGCCACTAACAAGCGGCATGGGGGCAGGGATATAGAGAGAGAGAGAGAGAGAAGGAGGAAGAAAGAGAAGAGCGAGAAAGAGTTGAGGGCTGAATGTAAAATAATTTGAAAACACGGCATTTGCGTAATGAAGCATGTGAAAAGCGCTAGGCGAAGCTGCTGAGAACTGGTGAAAAGCGCTCATAAATGCCAGAAGTTATGCAAGTCCTTAACTTTTATAAGCAGCAGAGGCTGAGGTGCGGTGGGCGTCTGCAAATAGACTACAGGTGCAAGTGGCGTATCACACATGTTTGCCATGCGAACGCAGTTCTGTGCCGCAGTGTGGATGCGGTTCAGCTGACACAAATGCGCGAACTCTCTCACCAAGTTGTGCAACGTAGAAAAGAGAAAACATAAAAAATTGTCACTTGTGGCGCGGCGATGCGCGGGACGCTTGGCGTCTGAGCAGGGCCAAAGACTGGCATTCGCATTCAGTGCGTAATCTTCACCTTTTTCACAGCTTTGCCATGCACTTTTATTGCATGCTTACAGGCGACTTCCCCTCTACACTTGCCGCTTGTATCGACAAAAGTTGCGCCTTGAATTTGCCACTTTATGCCACGTAGCTAGCACCAAATCCAAAAACCCAGCCAAGTCACCTGCCTGCCGCTGCACAGTGGGGCAAATGCAGAGATTTTCGGGACGGGAAATCAAAGCCAAGTTTTACCAAAAACGAAAGGCAAATCAGTTATGCATCACTGACAGCTTTCTAATACTTCTAATACATAGCAGATGCTCGTCGCCCATGTATCATGTTTGATATATACTTCTAGGTGAACTAAGATGCCAAATAAATAACAAGCAGGAGTTGTCTACTTCTTGTAGAACACCAACGACTGAAGAGTTGAGCTAAAAGCTAATGCTAATGTGGCCCATTGTAGTATGCAGCTGCAGCCCGCTAAGTAGTTGTAAGCTGCATAATGTATTTACGCAAGCACCGGAAATTGGGTGCTACGGGCAGTGGATGGGGTGCAGGTGGCAGCTAGCATTTGCTTCCAGTTGGCAGCCGAGGAGACTCAGCTCGTCAGGCTGCAGCCACTGTGCTAAACGCGAATAGACAAGTGTGATCCCTTGCGGATGTGGATGCGGGTTGCGGGTTGCGGAATGTGGGATGTGCTGGATGCTAGATGCTAGATGCAGATGCGAACCGTGGATACAGGCTGCTGTGGCTTGGTTTATGCGCGCATATTTGATGGCATTGTGAATTTCTGTGTGGAATTATGGCTCTTAGCGCACAGAACGTTCCCTACTCAGCTTGAGCATTCATTAATATGCGATGCATAAATGGGCTGAGGAGCTGTGGATGCAACGCCTCTAGCTGGTTGTGCTGTTCACCATACTTGGCGTATGGTTGGACCATAGAACAAAAATGACAATCCCTTCGAAAGCGCTTTGACAGATTGCTCAGCAACATTTGCCAATTAACGTCAGGACCATTAAAATCGACTTAAATGCTTAGATGCTATAATTGAGTTAAGCTTTCGAAGTCAACTAATCTCTCATATAACTATGCATATTTTGTTTCGAGAGACAAAGTATTTCTGAGAGCTTGCTTCTTGGTAAAAAAAGCTCTAGAGATTCAACTCACTTGATGTTCAGAGTTTTTAATACAACTCGTATTACTTTCAAATTGTTTATAAGTTAAAAAATGAGCTTAAAACTCTTTCAATTGCAAGCAATGCTCAAATTATTATGATTTATTATAAACAAAAAAGGGAGCTTATTGTTGGGGATTGAGTGGGCAACACTTATATCAGAGCAACGCCTGCAAATTGTTGCCATCTTTTTTAATGAAATAATGCTACTGTTCGCCAAACTAATCGTGCAGTGCGTCCTGATTTTGTCGAACATAATGATGAAGTTCATTTTTGGTTCAATGGGTACGAAACACCATCATACACATTATAGAAAAGTACTACTTGTTGGGAGTTAGGGGGGAATCATTGATCAAAATGTCTTCAAAAACGATGATTGTAGAAATTAGTTTTCCAGAGTGAGTCCTCAAATTATATTTAAGCATTAATGTCAATAAACTTATTATTTATAAGTCTTATTTTTTGTACTTTTTTATGATTTAAGTTAGCCTAGCTTTAAAAAGATTCTTACAATTATAAATTTATTATTTTCTTTTATTAGTCTTCAAAATTCTGATATTTTTGATTTGAAATTTAAATTCTCGTATTGACTTAAACAATCAAACTTATACGCAACATACATGCAACAACAAACAGAAAAAATCCTTTGAATGCTTCGCAACTATTTGTATATCTTAGCACATCTAGCTAATTAAACCTTCATATAGAAACCTCTGAGTGTGTTATCCCACTTTTAAGCATTGTTTGTGTATAGTTTAATGTGTGCTAATTTTCAGTAATTGCAGAGCAGTTAGCTTTTAAGACCAGACAGTCTTGCAAAGCAAAACTCATACACTCTATCTATGCATATATGTATGTCGCCCTCTCCGAACATTTTGCGGTTGTATGCAAATTAACTTAAATGTCAACGTTAAACAAAAAATTTTTTCACGACAAATGCAGAATTCAGAGCTAACGAAATGTCAAAAAGAGGAATTCGAAACCAGCATCCAAATGACTGAAAAATTGTGTAGCAAAATGAAGCAAGCGAGGCAACAGCTAAGTGAGGCAGGGTGTTTGGAGAAGAGAAAGGAAAAAAATGAAAAAAAAATTGTGAGAGACAAACTGCAAACGTCAAGCAAATTTCTGCTCTCTCTCTCTGTCTCTCTTTTTTATTTTTTTTAACTCTACATTGACTGAAACTCGGTGACAATGATGTTAACTAGAGTGTGAAAACTATGATTGGCTGTCGAGAGATATGTATGTGCACAAGGGGCAAGGGGAGCTTGGAGAGTTGGGCAGCGGGGCATGAAGCAGCTGGCTGACGAGTGGCGGCTGATGAGAGGCAGTCCTTGTCACTGTCAGCAGGAGGAGCAGCGGGTGCCGACACCAGCAAAGTGCTCTATGATTTATACCGTATTTGCAGCCAGTTGCTGGGATGACATCCTCTTTACTTTAGCAGCACACACGTACACCTCACTTACACACACACACAAATGGACTAGTGCAACTGTTGTTGCAACATGTTTCACATACGCTTTCAATTTGGCATTGCTGTGCGCCTATTGGCAGTGAAAAACTGTGCCAAAACGAAAGCAATTATTTTCAAATGCTGACTAATTAGTCAGGTAGGTCAACCATAAAATCCTTCGCTGATTTCTCTTTAACTAAAAATTTCAACTGAACAAAGGACAAAGCTAGATTGCTTGCTTAATATAGATCAATGAATGTATTCGATTGATTGATGTGGATTGTGCAACAGACTTGGGCAGAGGAGCAGAGCGTACTTGATGGAATAAATTTTCCAAATCTCAAAGTTCTTTATTTTCTCTGTAGTGTTGAAGTTATGAAAACCTTATTTTATACAATCGAAGTATTAATTTTAAAATTTATATTCTTGTGAATTTTTGCATAAAATTGAATTAACATTTTGTCCTTTATTTAAGCTTAAAATTGAATTTAGACTCTTTAGGCGCTTCTTTGCTTTAGCTATATTTTTCAATTCTTTACCTAAGGAAAAGTTCTCAAAATCCAACATTTTGTAAAATATTAAAAAAAACCGGAGACAATTTATAAATTACGTTTTTGCATATGCTGCTTTATTACATTTGTTTGCTGGAATAGGAAGATCTAGGAATCTTTTTAAAAAGTGATTTACATAGAAAGTAGAGAGAAGTTGCCGTTTAGTCATATGGAATTGGTCCGGGTACAGCTGCAGTATTGTGTCTACGTATTCGAAATATCATCGCTTAGTTGCGACCGGCTGCACAGTTGGTAACCTCAAGGCGGTTGCGGCACACCTTCAGCTCACGGTCGAACCATTGTCCGGCGGGACAATTCTGGTGTCTGGCGCGGTTGTTACGACACACATAGAAGCGGCGACAGTGTCTGGCGTTTGTGAAGAAAGTGCCGTCTTCGTGTCCCTGGCAGTCGCGCAGCGAGACCAGCGTTTCAGCTGGCTCACTTATGACTGTTTCAATAACTCTTATCGCTTCAAATCCCACTGTTGTTGTGCAGGGTGGTTCGGTTGTGGTACAGGGTGGTTTGGTTGTCGAACAGGGCGGTTTGGTTGTCGAACAGGGCGGTTCGGTGGTTGTGCAGGGTGGTTCGGTGGTTGTGCAGGGTGGTTCGGTTGTCGTACAGGGTGGTTCGGTTGTCGTACAGGGTGGTTCGGTTCTCGTACACGGTGGCTTCGCGGTCGTAGTAGTTGTCGATGTAGTTGTTGTTTTTGTAGTTGTTGTCTTCGTAGTTGTTGTCTTTGTAGTTGTTGACGGTGTAGTTGTTGTCTTTGTAGTTGTTGTCTTTGTTGTCGTCGTTCTCGTTGTGGTAGTGGTTGTTGTTGTACAAGGTGTTGTGGTTGTAGTTGTTGTGGTTGTTGTGGTTGTTGTTGTGGTTGTTGTTGTTGTGGTTGTTGTGGTTGTTGTTGTTGTCGTTGTTGTTGTTGTGGTAGTGGTTGTTGTTGTACAAGGTGGTGTCGTTGTAGTTGTTGTCTTTGTTGTCGTCGTTCTCGTTGTGGTAGTGGTTGTTGTTGTACAAGGTGTTGTGGTTGTAGTTGTTGTGGTTGTTGTGGTTGTTGTTGTGGTTGTTGTTGTTGTGGTTGTTGTGGTTGTTGTTGTTGTCGTTGTTGTTGTTGTGGTAGTGGTTGTTGTTGTACAAGGTGGTGTCGTTGTAGTTGTTGTCGTTGTAGTTGTTGTTGTCGTTGTTGTTGTTGTGGTTGTTGTTGTCGTTGTCGTCGTTGTGGTAGTGGTTGTTGTTGTTGTTTTGCAAGGTGTTGTGGTCGTTGTTGTAGTACACGGCGTTGTTGTCTGTTCAGTTGTTGTCTTTTCGGTTGTTGTCTTTTCGGTTGTTGTCTTTTCGGTTGTTGTCTTTTCGGTTGTTGTCTTTTCGGTTGTTGTCTTCTCGGTTGTGGTTTTTACGGTTGTTGTCTTTTCGGTTGTTGTCTTTTCGGTTGTTGTCTTCTCGGTTGTGGTTTTTACGGTTGTTGTCTTTTCGGTTGTTGTCTTTTCGGTCGTTGTCTTTTCGGTTGTTGTCTTTTCGGTTGTTGTCTTTTCGGTTGTTGTCTTTTCGGTTGTTGTCTTTTCGGTTGTTGTCTTTTCGGTTGTTGTATTTTCGGTTGTTGTCTTTTCGGTCGTTGTCTTTTCGGTTGTTGTCTTTTCGGTTGTTGTCTTTTCGGTTGTTGTCTTTTCGGTTGTTGTCTTTTCGGTTGTTGTCTTTTCGGTTGTTGTCTTTTCGGTCGTTGTCTTTTCGGTTGTTGTCTTTTCGGTTGTTGTCTTTTCGGTTGTTGTCTTTTCGGTTGTTGTCTTTTCGGTTGTTGTCTTTTCGGTTGTTGTCTTTTCGGTTGTTGTCTTTTCGGTTGTTGTCTTTTCGGTTGTTGTCTTTTCGGTTGTTGTCTTTTCGGTTGTTGTCTTTTCGGTTGTTGTCTTTTCGGTTGTTGTCTTTTCGGTTGTTGTCTTTTCGGTTGTTGTCTTTTCGGTTGTTGTTTTTACGGTTGTTGTCTTTTCTGTTGTTGTCTTTTCGGTTGTTGTCTTTTCGGTAACTGGAGCAGCCGTTGATGGAACAGCTGTGGTTGTCTTTGGTGTTGTCTGTGTAGGTGTTTCACAAGGAGTACTTGTTTCACTTGGAATTGGTGTTTTTTCACTAGGGGTTGTTGTTTTTGTACAGGGTGGTGGAGACGTAGGCTTCGTCTTATTACACGGTGGTTTCGGAGTCGTCGTCTCGCAAGGAGCTTTACCACCTGGTGCCGCCAAATGTCCATCGTGATCATGTCCAGAGACTATAAAACTACTGCGATCGCCGTTGTGGCACTCCACAAGGCTCGGTAGGTTGCAGATTTGAGTCCTGGGATCGAAGGACAGGCCATGACTACACTCTCTTCTAAGTGCACGCCCGCGCAGGCAAACATAAAAGCTTGAGCAGCTAATGGGATCCGCGAACGAAAGACCATTAATATGATCCGTACAGTCGGGTATGTGTGCCTCGCCGCTTGCAGCCAGAGCAGCCAGGGCAGTCACAAAAGTGAGCAGCAGCAAGTTGTCTATAAAGGGCAACATCGCCATTTAGAAATAGTACTCAAAATATCCAATCCGTAGAAAAACTTACAAACTCTCATTGTTAAAAATAGTCCTGAGCCTTGCTTTCACCGTTGGGAGTAATCACTTTTCCACTGTGGGTTTGACTGCAGCAGGTGCACCGCTTATATAGCGACCAACTGCTCACTTATCATCAGCTACAATTACACCAAGAATTGCTCAGCCACTTGACGGCAACACATCCCTTACACAAACATCTAGGAAACACATTGTCGGAAACGAGATATACATTACCCTAATTGACCGTTCGTCTCTAAAATATTAGAAAAAAATGAGTCACGTTTGTTATGCAATATAATGTCTCTTAGCTTGACGCAGTAACGTCAGGCAAACGTACTTTTTTACATAAATAATAGATAGATAATATATAGATAATAGATACATTTCTCTACGTATCTCAGTTCGGAAGAAAGTTTCATGTTTTTAAAAGTATCTGAACAAGTTAAGGGTATTTTCCAGGTATATTTATATATTTATGGTTTGTCTTCAACTGGGAAAAATAGACAAATATTTTAAAGAGTTTCTTCTTGGATTTGCAGGAATCGTTTAAAAAATGCCAAAGAAAAATCAACAATCGTTTTTACTATGCCCAAAAAATGTTGAGTTACAAGTTGAACGAAATCCCTCACGAGAAACCACAAAAACCATAAAATTAATATTTTTTGTGACAAATTGTTGTATTTGCTGGATAAAAAGAACATTTGTTTAGTGCTATGAGAGGAAGATTTTTCAAACATTTGTGTTTTGCATTTGCCAGCTCGAAAACACTTGTGGTCGGACAAATGAATGCATATTTAACAAACTTGTGCACAATTCATGAGCACTGTATGAATATTTCAGTTGACACGTCGACTTCCCAGACACGAGTCCCATGCACGAGTCCTTGTTGTCCTGGCTCCACCTAATGCTCTTGTATCCAAAGGCTGGTTTGTGTACTTGCATTTCAGTCAATGTTGATATAATATATGGAAAAAGGTTTTGTGACAGCAAAAATTTACTTGAAACTCAATTGGCCAGACACTGACACTGAAGGCAGCCGTAATTTAAGTATTAATAAAGCAGCGTTTCAAAATTAAAGCCAATTGATATCTCTAACAATAGAATCCGCTTAGGCTACTGAGTACATACCTTCACTTCAGCCATGCTTAGAAAATACTCAAAAATATTCAACTTTAAAGTTTTCGTTTAAGGAAAATGTATTTTATTTACTTGTCATCACTTATGATAATCGCTTAAGACTTACTGCAAATATTTTATTTGCTTTTATTTAATTTTATAAATTATTTTTGTATTTTTTAAGCTGCAATAATCTCAACTAAACGAAAATCTCTGTGAACTCTTACGTTAATTCAATACTGAGCGGAAGTTGCGCTTGAAATTGTTGCAAGTCGTTAATACTAACTAATGTTTATTTATGGTATGTTCTTTTATATGTTTATATTTTTTAAATATTTTCTTTTTTTTTTTTGTTTGCTTCTTGGATTATTTATTTTTGAAGGAACGCTGTAGCTTACATATTCGAAACACACACATACATATTTACACAGTTCTCTTGAAGTTGAATTGTTATAGATATTTATTTCCTTTCATTAATGTTTACACATATGCAAAATTCTACTGTTATTCAAATATTTTAGTTTCTATTTTTTTTAACATAAAAGTAAAATATTTACAGTTTACGCTGAGCCAATTAGAAGTCGACATACGGAGTGTTTACGTAGAGATACATTCAGTAAATGTGAGAGTTCATCTATCTGGACTATGTTTTCTTTCATAAATATCTGGATTTATAGCTGACACACTGAGTTTAACTATTAGGATTATCAATACACTCCAACACGAGTTTAGCATTTGATTTATTGTACAATTATTATTATAAAGTTTACTTCTGAAAGCGTTAGCCACCAGCTGAGCGTTTTTTATTAACTTTTAAATGTATTTATTATATTACCGCAGTAAAAAGTGTTTTGCTTTTTGCAAACTTCATTTTGAGCGTCATTCAAAGTAAGTTTTATTTTCGAATTTCCTTATCTAAAGTATTATAATGTAAATACAACCATAACTCAAACCGCATCTTAAAGATTTCGAAATGAAGATTCCTTTCATGCATATTTACACAACTCTGTCGAGCTTTCAATATCCTTGATTTGATTACCCAAAGAAGTAGATTGTTGACTCAAGTCTCAAGAAAAGCTGAAACTAAAAAAATTCACGAATTCATATGGTTGGCGAGCTTAAAAAATACAAACACACAGACATAGATCAGGAATCTATAAGCAAGTACTGTTAGTATGTTTTTGTTTTTGGCAATAGATGAGTTAGTGAATGCATTTATAATGTATCTATTAGACATGCTCGTGGCAACAGATGACTCCCTTTTTGTTGGGACTTAAAGTTCTAGGCATAGTCTAAGCTGAATCGCAGCAATCTTCTTTCGTCCTGCTGGTATTGCCGCTAGTGCAGTCGCTTTTGTCGCTCAAGTTTTATCCTCGGCCACTTTGGTGCCACTAATTGAGCTGCTGACGTGGCCACGGCTGCCGCCGCAGTCTCCGCCATAGAATCCCTGCCTGCGGGTTGTCGTCTGCGTCAGCGTCTGTGCGCAGTGCCTGCGGCTGACACTTGCGCCGGACGTCGTCCTGTTTTTTATCCGTGCTGGCAATTGTGGCTCCTGGAGCGTTGCTGCCGCCGTTCGCTTGTTGACTTTGTTTCGGCCTCGATTGTTGCCGAACACAAATTTAATAATCCACAACAGTGTCAAAATTGTTGAAATATTTCGCCACGGCAAATAGCCAGGACAACCAATTAGCGCATTCCAGCTGATGCTGCCCGATTTGATGGCCGACGCGGAGTATTCACCTGATGGTAGCAAAGAACAAATCACATGTGTTGGCTTCTGCTTAACGCTCTATGACCAACTGCACAAATAAATACTAAGCACTGATAACATTTTCAATCAAAAACAATTTCAGAACAAATTCTGCATAAAATCATAGTCGATTGAATAAACATAAACATATTGTAATTAAATATTTCTATGGCGAAATTGAATAGCAAACACTAAAGCCGAGTAGAGCAAATAAAAGAACGCATAAATTAACAGCCATTTGAGCATCGTTTTATACTCGCTCTAGACTCAGCATGAAACACGGGCGTGTGAAATATGCACAAAATAAATATTTGAATTTAATATCAGCAACAACAACGACAAAATGAACTGGATCAGCAAATAAAATGAAATTGTGAAAATAGCAAAAGCTAAAAATGGCATGAATGCAATCATTAACTTGACATAAACTATATGTAAATTTCAGTTCAAATAAAATAATTAACTTCCAGTGATTTCATAATCTTAAGTTTATATTTTCTTTTAGCAGGCAAATCAACTAATCAAATTTAACTAAAAGCCAAAGGCTGCAGTCGTATATATTCAATTGAATGACGCCCAAATGTATGTGGAAATTCCAAAATTTCTGACTAACGAACTAAAATTAAAATATTTGCTTAGCAAATTGAGTTTTGCACTGAATTTTGAATGCTAAAATAAACCAAGCATCATTTATTCAATATAATTAAATATAGCTCGGGGCAGCTCGATAATAAAATATAGAATTTACTACAGATATTTATAAATATATATGTATTGAAATGTATAAAATATAATACTAATAATAATAAGGATAAGCGCTATTAATTCAATAAAAATGTGCTGCATCACGTGCTCAATTCCCATAATATACATAAATATATATATTTAAAGTATATATAAAATATATATAATAAAGCATGCATTATAAAAAACTATAAATTATGTCAAAAAATAGTAAGGGCTACCATGTGTGTGTGTGCGGCAGAGCCAGGCAGGCTCACGCGTGTATAAATGATAATATCATTAAGTTATTAATAATAATTTGTCACGATTGTAGTCGTGGCCTTTACTGTTGTTTTTATATTGCATACTCGTTGCTGCCACTGCACCACAGAATGATATTAACTTTATTAACCCTGCGGCACTTATGTAAAAATTCATCCATAACAATTTTTTTTTTTCAATTTCAAACAAAAGTCGAACCGCCCGCATGTTTTTGTTCTTTTTCCCCGTAGTTGTGCAACCCACCGTTAAAATGCATAACAAATGTGCAGATGAAAGCACAGGCAGTCCGGACGACCGCCCCGCCTTCTGCCTTGCCCCTGTTGCCTAGTGTTTCCGTGATTTTCATTATCCGGCTTTAACATGTTTTACTCATTTGTTCGGATTAAAAGTGCTGTGGGACGCAATTTATCTGCGCCAATTAGTCGAATATTAAAAATACATAAATTTAACACGATATATTTCACTTGTTTTTCCATTGTGTATTACAACTTTTAATTTTTTGTTTTATTTTTCTTTGATCTTATTGTGAAAATGGAATCAATAAATGTTGATGAACATGCGCTTCGAAATTTCCGATTTTTTCTCTCGGTATTCAACTATTTCAGTCGACTTAATTACGGAAAATATTTTTAAATATTTAGTCATGAAAGTGTGATAATATTGGGTGGAACACGCAAAGTTTTGCTTGGGAGTTTTTATATAGAAATAAAGAGATGCGAGAGAAATAAAGAAGGTTTTGATAATGTGTTTGAAGAGCTTCTCTATTTCTATAAAAGGATATATGAAATACCTGTTAAGATATGTAATGTCTATATATACTTATGTTGATTGATAGTTGATTGGAAAATTGGCAAATATTTTGTATACAAATTGATATAAGGATCAATATTTGGTTTCTTTTTCGCTTATAGCTCGAAAAAATTGAAATGATTAATTAAAAATGTTCACAATTTATGTCTTGCTTGATTTGAAGTGGCAGAAAACAACTGTTCAGAGGAAGCCACAGCTGCAGGCGGGTGTGGCATGAATGACAGAGTGACAGACACGCCCTTAAATCATTGTTTTGTCCCTTTTTCGAGGCTTTGGCATATGTAAAACGAAAAAAAAACAAAACAAACACGTGAAGCCCTTGACAGTCGCATAGAATACACACGAACCACAATTTACCGTCAAATCCAATGCCATTTTTATGGCCATTATTTAAAATACCATTGGCCCCAATAAACGTGACAGTCGTCGTTGCTGTTACGACTGACAACGTGTAAACGCCAAACGCAAAGCGCACACCTGTCCCTCAAGCCAACAAGCACCACATCAGGTGTCATGGACACTTAACTGGCAACCACCAGGGCCCACTGCCAGCCCCCTTCCATCCTTATGCGAATTAAAGTAGCATGCTTCAAACAGAACACATGTCAAAGTTGACATACACGCACAACTCAAACAACAACAACAACAACACATATGCTGCAAGCCAAACGATTTAAATGCAAACACAAATTGCGTATTGATAAATAAATATCTCACAGCGCTTGTGCGATACAAAGATATAAAGATACATAAATACTGCAGATACGCCAGACATACAGAAACACAGATACAAAGATACAAATGTATCTCTGCGCTGGACAAACAACCATGGTAGCTATTCTGGCTGTAGTATGTGTGTATTACATGTTTATAGGTCATCATTATCATTACTATTATCGTTATCATTACCATCATCATCGACATCATCATCATCGTCGTCATTACAATTAACGTGATTCTCATTCTCGCTGGCGCCTTGCTGGACATGAAGCAAATACGCAATCGTGGGACATTCGGAGATAATAATAAAATAAAACTGCAGCAATTGTTTCTGCAGTTTCAGTTGTAGCTGATTTTGTTGTTTCAGTTGTTACTGTTTCTGTCTGAGTGATCAGCAGCACAGGTAGAAAATTGTGCAAGCCAAATAAAAACTAAGTGGTTCAACTATGGGAATTGAAAGTGAATCTAAACTCAAAAAAAAAAAAAAACTAAACTAAAATATGACAAACAGGATCTTCATAAAGGAAACAAAATAAGTTACTTAACAATTATTACATATATGAATTTATTCCGTAATAATAATGAAGACAAGTCAGGCTAGGATAGCCTGTTGTGAATCATCGAAAATATGACAGAAAAATCTCAAATTTAGTAAAACAAAAATATAAATATAAATAACTATTAAGCAATTAAATATGCTTATAAACATTCAAAAATATTGAGTTTGACTTAAGTAAGTTTCGAGCCACAAACATGTGATTGGACACCACTGTGCCTGCGCGCGCGAATCGAAAGTCAGCAAAGTAAAATTCAATTAGGCTAAATGAAAACTTAATTCTATTGGCATGCAATACAAAAAACAGTTGGCACTAACTACATAGCTTGGCCAGCAACCAAGCAAGTGATGCCCTCTGCCCCTGCTCGCTTCCTCTACTCTGGAAGCAAACGTCATGCGGACTCACCGTTTAGCACGTGCAGCACAATGGTGCGCGGGGCGCTGTTCGAGGGGCTGCATGTATAGTTTCCCGAGTCGAGTTTCACAACGGCGGGAATGATTAGCGAGGCGGTCTGTAGGGAGGAAAATAGCACAAAAAAATGTCTGATATATAAGCATATATACATATATATAATATATATATATATTTATGTGTGTGTGTGGTACTTGAGCTGGCGAGACAGCGCACAGACGCGGCGGCGGCAAGTGGGGTGTATGCGCCACGGGATGTCATGGCGGGCAATTGGAGCGCTGGCACGGTTAAATGAAAAGCATTAAAATACGAAATATGCACACAATCATATTATGTATTAAAATTATAATTTGACGACGCTGACAGTTTTGGAAAATTGAATAAAAAGGCCATCACGCGCTTTGCGGCGGCAATTCGCGTAGTGAAAATGCGTTTGAGGAAAATGCACTTGGAGAAATTTTGTGGTCCTTGAACTTCTAGGGCATTGAGCTTATTGAATTTTGTATTCAAACAACTGACTTCATATACAGATAGAGCGCATCCAGCAAAGCTTAGTGATTTTATTGCCATTTAATTATAATTACTTTTCGGCCTATTAAAAGTTAAAAGACACCTACTGAAAATCCGGCTTACTTCGTCCCAAAATGCGCAGGCAGCAAAAATAAATCAGATTTGTATTTTCTGAGTGTATGAGAGTGGGCGGTTCATGTGCTATGTATATGATAATGATGAGAGTCACACCCACATGTGCGGTATGCCACTTACCGTTATCTGCTTAATGAAACTGCTGCTTGGTAGCATTGTTGTTGTTGTTGTTGGCGTTGTGCTTGGCTCGGTTATAGTTGTTGTCGTTGGAGTTGTTGTAGTTGCTGCTGCTGCTGTCGTCATAGTTGGCTGTTTGTCAGCAGCAGCTGCTGCTGTTGTCAGCATATCAACGGCTGCAACACCTTCGTCTGTGGCAACGCCTGCTGTTGTTGTTGCCGCTGCTGCAACTGCAACTGCAGCAGCAGCTGCTGTCGTTGACATTGTGGTTGTTATGGGCGTGGTCGTGGCTGTCGTTGGCAGCACGTATCCATATCCGGCGCTAGCGGCTGCATCGCTCACCGGTATCGCATCTAGAATATACGAACGTGTTATGGCCGCTATATCATTAAGGGATTCTGCTGCTGCTGCTGTTGCTGTTGCTGTCGACGTCGATGTGGACGTTGCTGCTGTCGGCGTCGTTGGCGCTTCCGTTGGCAGATCGATGCGCTCAATTTCCGTTCGCCATCCGCGACGATTATGCAAATAGATTTGCTTCTGATTGTAAAACCAATTAATGAAAAGTGGCGGCTCCAGCGCTTGGCTAATTATGCAGCGCAGTTTCACTTGACTTCCGGCCTTCACGTGACGCGTGGCCTCGCCAATTAATTCCGTTTTAGGTTCTGAAGCACACGAACAGAGACAGGGAGAGACACACATTTAGAGAGTCGCTTACAATCTGTGCAAAATCAGTGCCGAAGCCACTGATTTATTGGCCTGCTCTGTGATTTATGTTTGGACTTGAATTTGGGTTTGGGCTGCCGCATGTGTTGCAGTTCCCTTTAGCTTTCATTGATTGACCATGCAAAAAACCCTTTAAGAGGTCTATTTTTCTTGACAAATAACGAAATGTTAAACGGGTCTTAATGGAAAACATTTGATTTTTATTTACTTTTAATGAATTGAATCAATTTATTTTTTTTTATATTTTTATTAAATATAAAATGTCAGTCAACTAAATAAAGTTCACGCTAAAAACCATAAAAACCCGCTATGTTCTTATCATTCAAATGTGATAATTAGAATGATATATAAATAAAATATATCAAAATCAAACTGGTTTTGGTATGGAGAACTCCAATCTTCTTTTGAACAAACACTTGTCCAGTTTTATTGACTTCACTTAATTCATTTCATTAACTTCATTTTTTTTTAAAGTAGATACTTCTTGATTTATTTATAATATATTAAATATTATATAAAACTTAAATCAAATTACTGTTGCCTACTCATTTCCTATGGAGAATAACACTATTGTAATCGACTTGTTAAACACTCTTTTATTTCCTTTACTCACCCACAATGCGCAAGTGAACAATTGCGCTTGCTTTGGGCTCCGTAGAGACTTGGCACTCGTAGGTGCCCTCGTCCTTGAGCTGCACGTACTTAATTTGTAGGGACCAGCGTTCGGGGTTGGGCGAGAAGACGGATTGAAAGCGCTGATCCGCTATGAAGGTAGTCTGGTCCACGGTGAGTATGTGTCCATCTCGCATGCGAAGCCAGGAGATGGGCTTCTTGACCAATTGCTTGACCTGTGCCAATGAATGAAAGATGACAATCGAAATGAATGAATCAATATCAAATTAGGCCATAATTGAAAGCAATCTGTCAATATTGGTTTTCATATTTTAAAATACAATACAATTGAGACCTGAACCCAGCGGAGGCCCTGAGCAAAGTCCCAGCTGACTAACTGAATGATGTCAGCTAAACTTTTGCACACAAAACTTTGGCGCCTACAACAACGGGCATAGAATGATATATGGGGGGACAATGTAACGGTAAACAATAACGCCAACAAAATGACGATTCATTTCTGTCAATAATGACAATAATAATTTAGAAGCAATTTTACAAGGCAGTCGCCCTGCCTCCCTGCCAGCCTCCCTCCCTCCCTTGTCACCATACAGCCAGCCGCACGTAAAGAAAATAATATACGTTGAACTCGAGACGGAAACGGACAGACCTTATATTGAATGTGTCGGTGTGTGTGGGTGTGTGTGGGTGTATTTGTGTATACGTGTTATTTATGTAGCTCGGTGTACCACTTGTTCGGCATGCGAATTATGTTCTATGAAAGAGCTCATCGTAATTACACTCGACACAATTTGTGATTTATTTGCAGGCAGACAAGAAAAAGTTTTCAACTTCTTCGATTATACTTGTATTGCCTTCCACAGTTGGAAAGCCAGATTGAATAGTCAATTGTTTGTGGGATGCATTTAAAAATTTATAATAATAAAATTTAAAGTTATTGAAAAAACAAAATAATTTACGTATACTCAAGTGAACTTTGTTGAATGGTTAAGAAAATTATTTAAAATTAAATTAATCAATCAATCAGTTCAAAATCAATCAAGACTTTATAGCTAAATTGAATATTAAAGACTTCGAATTAACTAGAAAAATTGCGAGCTACGAAGACATTAACTGAAATAAAATATTAGTTAAGTAAAACAAATATTTAAATAAACAACATAAATGTGTAAGAAATTATTAGGCAGTTATCCTTATTAAATAATAATATTAAATTAAGTGAATTATAGAATTAACTTTTAATTTAAGCTAAAAATTAATTTTGCTTCAAAAAGCGTGCTAAGATTTTTTGAAAAGAAAATATTCCAAGTGAAATTGATAAATATTCTATTGCAGCTAAAAGCTGTGCACTTTGGGCTTAGCTGCAGTTCAGATATAAACTACGTCAATGTTTCTCCGGACAATTTCTGTATATATTATTTAACATTTTTTAAGCATTATATATTATATATCTCGTAATGATCAACTAATCCACTGTAAACTTTGATTCACTTAAAATTCCAAGCACACAGTTTGCGCGCAGTGTGAGCCCGCGCACATATACCCTGTTGGGCGACAGGCGAGGGGTTGCTGGGGAGCATCTACACAGCTGATTATAATGGCGATTGCGAAGCATGGCACTAGCTGGAACTCCGACTGGCTGTGGCAGTGGCAAATGACAGTCTTTGAACTGCTGTCATCAACTACATTGTCCGTGTGGGCCACGGCGTCGGCTACGTAAAGCGGCAACAGCTTGGGGGCATCGCTCTAAAGAGGGGACATGGGGCAGGTCGGTTGAGAGGGGTGCTGTTGAACGACGTCATGATTAGATACTATAATCATTTGTGTTTTATGTGCTTGTTGTTTTTCATTGTGGTTGCCGCCCGGCCCCAGTCGCCACGGAACTAAAAGTGTCTGAGGCACGCACACAAAAGACCACCCGCACATAGAGTCTGCTGCCCACCGCCCATCTCTTACCACACACAGAGATTTAGCTGCCCGCCTGTCTGTCTGACTTGGCCGTAATTGCTGGCTCGCCTCCCCCGCCTTGTTGTTTTTGTTTAGCTGTACGTGCTGTCAAAACTATATGAATATGCCGTATCACAAATAAGTACACACACACATTTATAACAGCCACATATTAAGGCAATGTAAACGATATAAGGTTTACTTGGTACACAGCATCACGGATTAACCTGCCTAAATTTCTAATTCGACTTTGCAACTTACGTGTTAACAGTGTTTAAAGTGTTTGCATAACTATTTGTGTTGTATTAAGTAAGTTAAGTAAGTTTTGTTGTATTTTTAAGTAGTGTTCTCAAATAATTTCAAATTCCAATTAGATAAATATATGCGAATGAAACGTATCCAGAGGAATTTTTAAATAAGACGACTTCATATAAAAATATCCTTCTATCCAACATAAGCCAAGATCTTAATAAATAAATTTTCAATTTATCTTCAAGTCTTCCACTCACTGATTTCTGTATAAAGAATTCTTAATTTTTTTTTGTTTTAAAATTTTCTAAGGAACTCTACATTATGCAGCTATAAATATACCAATGTGGGGAGGGCGGCGAGTTTATTAAATTTTGCGGAAAGCATTGAAAGCGTGAATATCGCACACAAAGGACATTATTATCAGGCCGAGCATCGACATTATACTCAGTGTATTAAGTGAAGATGCTTATCCAGTTGCCCGAGTCGAGAGACAGTTGGGCAGCCAGCCAAGCAGCCACCAGGCACGCACGCAGAGTCGGCGAAGAGCAGTGGAAGAAGCTGGGGCTGTAACTGGAGCAACTGCCAGGGAACTCCTTCAGCCACAATTTGGAGTACGTGGCAAGTGTAAGTATGGAGAGTAGATGCTTGAGGCTACTCCTGCTTCTGTTCCGCTTGACTGGCTGACAAATATTCCTGTGGCTGGGGGGCTCAGGTTGGGCCCGTTAGCTAATTTAAATTCCTCGCTTATGGATGGCGCATTATGCGGCTGGGTTCGTGTAGATTGCGCTTAATTTGCCAAAAAATTAATGACCGTATTTTGCCATCGAATTTATCAAGATGCCCAAATTCTGCGCTGCTTAGCAATTTAAATATTGTTAATTAGATGAAGCTGCATAGAGTCTCCCCACGCTGCCCCTCTCTCTCTTTCTCTCGCTGTCGCTGTATGCTGATGTCTGTGGGCAAATGTTAGCATTGCATTAAAGTCAAGCGCCTGGAAATGGGCAATAAAGCCAGCAAGTGGCACTTATAGTTTGTAAAAGTTGACGGGCCGACTGCACCCATATCATATCATATATCCCGTCAAAGACGTAGATAGAGCTGGAGCCTTAGTTGTAGTCAAGTTTTCGCTCCTTGGCTTTTATGTTCGCCTTACTTTTTCGTCTGCTGTCGTCAGCAACGATTTCTTTTCCTTCTTCCCCTTTTCTTTTCTGTATTTCGGGGAGACGAAACCAAAGGCACGCAGACAACAAAGTTTGGCCATAACATTTGCGAATGCTGTCTAAACTTGTTTGTAAATAATTTCTTTCTTTTATTTTGCCAATTTTTTCACACAACAATACACCTCAAAGAGAGCCATATCCATGGGTAGCATTTCTTTGCCTTTTTCATTCTATATCTGGCGCAAAAAAAAAAACTTTTCGCAGACTTTGCAAAATAACCTAAAATTGGGGCAGGGGCAGCGCAAAAATCGCTTCTGCGAAAATCTCGAAAAATATTAAATGTTCGCAGGCAAAGCTTTGTTTCGCGTTTTCTTGCTTGCGGCATGCCTTTAAGCTTAAGGCAAGCTATGTGTAACGCCAACGGGCCACAATTTATTATTAATTGATTTGGCCTAAGCAGATTACTTTACATTGCGCCAAGTTATGCCAGCCGGCAGACGTGAGCGTTAAAAGGAAGAGAACATATATTTTCTTTTATCGGATAATCGGTCGTAAGTGATGCTCCCTCTATTGGGAAAATCGAATGAAATAAAAAACCTTTTGAGCAGGCAGAAACAAATGTCTTCAGACTCTTTATTGAATGGGTTTTCTATGTCTACAAAATATGTATTGGCTTTTGACATTCCCAATTTGTTTAGTTATAAAAAACATTCTAATGAGGCTTTAAGTTTGGATTGAGAAATGATTCAAACAATTTGAAGGCAATTTAAAATTCTTAAAAATAATACAAATTAAGCGTTGGGTAAACATTTACCGTGCAAAACCTTTGCAAGGTGAAAAATCGTTCAAAGAACTGAGATTAAATTTAACAAATCGTTTTCAATATCAAGGAATAAAAAGTAAATTGAGCCAAAAACTGTGAAAGGTAATAAATGAAAATAATGTAAATAAAAATGCCTTAAGGTAAGTAAATGATTTGTGAAGCTATCATCCTTTAAATAATTAATATTTACAGGTGTTTCTTTCTCTTCTTTCTTTTCCTTTGTTTTACTTAAGTTCTACGAGCAAGAAGTTAGTATTCGTGTTGCTACAGACGAGTTCATTTGAATAAACACAGCAGTAGCGAAACGAGAAAGAGTAACAAAAAGTATTTGTTTGTCTTCCCAGCAGCTGCAGACTGTTGAGATACTTTTGTATCTTTTAAGTTTCATTTTATTTAATTTTTCAGAGTGAGGGAGAGGGAGACAGAGAGAGAGAGAGATCAAAATAATGTACTCTATAAACGGGAATAGCGACGACTGCGCCAATTATAATGGTCATAATAATAATGATTATGCTTGTAATTATAATGATCATTAGCATGATTATCATCGTGATGTGGAAGCTGTGTGTGTTGCAGGCACTGCGCCAAGGCAGCGAGTAACTAAATTATTAGCAGACAGACTTTGGATGCCACACACACACAGACAGACACACACACACACGCACTGCCACGCCCAACACTGTGCGTGTGTGTGGTATGCACGGGGTTGGGGGCTTGAGAAATTTGGGTCATCTACGAAAATGGCGTTGCCTTTGGCTATAAATCGGGCGAACAAGTGGCGGGTGGCGGCGACGGAGACGAGGCATGCGTTAGGGGCTTGAGGCGTGGCAGTAGCAATTTCCGGTTTGTTTTCTTTCAGTTCCGACAGCGCCAAGCGTAAATTAGTTCAAAGCGCAGCAAAGTTGAACTTTGCCCTCTCCAACCCAGCTCCCAACTCCAAGTCACTGCCTCGCTGGTCGCGCTGTTTTCATGAACCGATTGAGCAAAAAAGAAAAGATTCTGCATAATCAGTTGCTTATTATAAATTACCAATGATTAAGATAAGAGCAAAGGAAAATGCTTTGTCAATATTTTTGTAGCTCTCCTCAAAAAATGGGGAAAAATTAAAATCCTCTGAAAGTAAACAGTGAAGCTAGCGCTTGATTGGATTTCAGCAAAAATCAATCAACTTTTCATTTGGCCCTCTTCAGCTGCTCAGTTTAGTCAACAACTTAATATTGTACAAGTATTCAGGCATTATTTGGCATAAGCATGCGCCTTATGCAAGTCATTGATAAAACCAACAAAACCAAAAACGAGATGGAGGACATAATACAAAAAAAAAATAAATAAATAAAAATAAAAAGTAAAATAATATTTTGTATAAACTCTCGGCTTTTTGAAGAGCGGTCAATTCAGAAAGTTAACTGAAAAGGTTTATTATTGCATTAAGAAAACCCCCAAAAGTTTGTTAAACTTGGGAAATGATTGAATGTAAAGGTGAAACAGTCTCGAGCTGAAGCCATGACGAGAATAGCAAAAAACATGAAAGTCGATTCGCTATTAAAAGGGCTTTGCAGATACAAAAGAAGCTTTTGTTTCAAGTCTTAAAATGTTGGCAATAGATTAGCAAATTGAAAGAGCATGCTTAACTATGAAAGTAATTGTGGATCTGATAATAGTATAAGTTCCTCCAACCTGAAATTTAAGAATCTATAAAGGTGAATGACGATGATGACTCAGGCAAGAAAGAGTTCATGTACATGGATGAAGATAGATATGAACAGTTGAACCTGTTACAAATGCGTATCTTTCTTTAAGTATGTTAACTTTATTTTATAAGTTGATTAACAAAAATTAATTAATATTCAAATATTTTTGATGCTACAAGAGGTTCTGCATAAGCTGATCATAAGCTTAAGTCTATGAAAGACAAATAAATACGAGTTAAAGCAAATATCTATAGAACATCGCAATAAGCTCATTAACTATTTGAGAAACTATATATACTACTTTTTTGTTAACGCTCTGTAGTAGTTTGGCGAACGCATTGCCCATTATTCTGTTATTAATTGAAATGTATTGAGGGCTTGGCTTGATCCGATTTGTTGTCAGCCACGTGATGTGTGCTCTTTGTGGGAAGCAATCACTTCTTTTGTGTGGTGGCTTCGTCTTTGTACGGCCTGCGAGGCGCCTATCAAGTAGGCGCTTCATTCGGCACGCATTATGGACTGTTAATTAAAGGGAATTTCCGGGGTGGAACTCAGCTTGAGGTTTACTTACATTGCAAGGCAGATAGGCGTGGGTGCCCGCTTGGCTAATTATTGTCTGGTAATCATCTATTGTTGGCGGGGGCTTTAACGTAGTCTTTGGAGCTGGTCGACGTGTCGTGGTTGTTGTTGTGGCTGCGGTTGTCATTGTTGGTGTTGCTGTTGCTGTTGCTGTTGATTGCTCTGTTGCTGCTGTAGCCATTGCTGCCACCTCGATTGCGGCTGTGGAACTGTTGCTGTCGGGGAACAATGCGTTGTGCTGCGTAATTTTGTAGTTGTGCTCATATGGGTCCTGCTGCTCAACATTTCTATTGCTCATAATAAGATTTGCTTGCAACACAACTGCTGCGTCCTGTCGCCGTTCCGGGCGCTGTCGATCGGCATTGTTGTTAATGTTATTAATGCTGCTGTGTTTCGGAAATGCAGTTTCCACTGTTGCCGTTGCTGCAACTGCAATGGATGGGCCCGCATTTGTCTGCATATCTGTTGTGCCTGTTTGCTCATCATTTGCTCCGGCAATTTGCGTTGTCGCTGTAATGAATGGCAGCGATTTTGCCAATGTCGCCGCTCTCTTTGATTGACTTCTATGAAATGTGCCGTCATTTATTCTGTCGCTCCTTAATATTGCCGCCTCAAGGCCTCCTAGAAGACAGAGATAGAAATGGAGTGTAAGAGAAACAGATAGAGAGTGGAAATTGTAAAGAAAGACGCATTGTAAGCCATAAATTAATGAGTTTGTGTTTTGTTTTGAGCTCGGCTCTTAAGCCGCTTACATATTTCAAACGGCCTGATCCCATTTATCTAATATGCCCGGCAACAATTAAAGCGAGTTCAATAAATTAATCAGCGCCCAACATGGACAGGCAGCACCACTCAACCACTCAACCAGCCAATCAGCCAGTCGCTATCAATTTGCACGCCTTCCCACTCTGACGCATTATAACAATTTCGAAATTAATTAGCTAATTACCTTCAAGGACGTTCAGCAAGTGGATTTTTGTATTGATTTGCATAATTTAGGTAAGCAATGACGACAGACAGCCAGCATGATATGGGATGCTGGCCAAAGGCCCATTTAAATCGGGACAAAACAGAAAAATAAACTTCTTCAAAAGTTTATTTTAGACGAGGTTCGCGCCCATTGCCATAGATCTTAAGAGCAGCACTCGAGCCCAGCAGTGTCTGGAATTATCTTGAATTATAGTTGCTTTTGTTTTTTTATCTAATTAAAATGATTTACTTTGCCTAATGCATCTCAATTATTTCACTCTATAAATATTTTCTTGCTAATTTCAGATTTGATGAGATAATTAAATAAATTTATATGGCAAAAAGTAAATATTAATTTGTAATGTATTAAAAAAAGCAAACTAATTTTATGCGCTTCTTTACATTTTAGTTGATGTATTTAGTTCTTTCATTTGATTTATTGATTTTGTTCATATCCCACTCTAGGAAAAATATGTATATAAATTGTGTTTAATCGGATATATCTTCGTCCTTCTCCCTCTCACTCTTTCTCCTTTACCTCTCTCGCCCGCTATTAAGCAAAAAGAATTGCAATAAGATATAAGAGATTCGGTCATAATTTATGCACCTATGACACACCTTAGCACGCCCACCTGCCTGGAGCTGCAGTTGCGCGTAAATTTGCCAAATTGACGCCATAAATTTTGGTAACGAAACTTTTTGGCCCGGACAGCAGTACAAAAGGGACAACTGCAAAAAAGAACGAGTTAAAGCAAGACAAAACTGTGTCATGCCACAGATATAAAGACGAGTGCCACATGCTGCATGCCACACACCACATGCAAGCGCCGAGATTGCCTCAATTTAATTAATACTGAGTGCAGTTTTTTGAATTCGCTGCCAACGAAAATATTCGAAAATTACACACTCCAAAGTTCGAAGAGCTCTTAGAAAACTTTTCGCCCCGTTGCAGCTGAACGAGGCCTGCTGGCCTATTGGCCTGTTGGCAGGCAAAAGTTATTTATCGTTAATTAAGTAATGCACAGCAAAACGCAGAGCGGCTGCCTAAGAGAGCTATTGAGCATCTAAAAGTCGGAGCTAAGATCTCAACAACTATCTAAGCAGGGCGATGCGAGGACCAAAGGCGGGACAGATAGAAATCTAAGTGCTTTGAGCAAATGCAAAACTCGCTGGCGGCCATAAACCAAAGTGAGGGTATATATATATGTATATATATATATATATATATATATATATATATATATATATATATGTGTGTGAGTGTGCCTGTGTGTGTCTGTCTGTGTGAAGCATGTTATCATGTTTTATGTTTATGCGTCGTGTACGTGCAATAAAGATAAAACGATTTCATATAAAAACTTTTTAATTGCCTGCACTAATGATGCACTGCAACAACTTGATCGTTATAATTATTATTATTATAATAATCAAGTTGTCCGCAACATTTGCACAAGTGGGCGAAAAGTTGCTCCACACGTTAAAAAATAATTAAATATAAAGTTCCAAATTTGATCATTTTCATTTGCAAATTGAGAGCAAACTCAACAAGAGCTGAGTTTTAAATGAAATACAAAACTTGACTGTAAATAAATAAAATTTAATAACGAGTTCTATTTTTATTTGCTCAGATTAGAAGTCTTGATTGAATTTGACACGTTTCGCTTAAAGTTTGTTAGCTTACAGATATTTAATGAAAATGCTCTTCAATTTAATTCAATTGAGTCGACATATTCATCAAATACACTTTTCAAAGCTGTCTATTTATATGTTAATTTAAGAAACTTTAAATTTACATAAATCTGTAAACAGAATTTAATTTAGATTATCAAAAACAATGTTGAGCCAAATTATGTGAAGTATGCCATTTATTCATTTATGCGAATCGCTCTCAGCGCATAAATTTCTTATAATCTCAGCGTTTAGGGAAGAAGAGTTCTTTTTCTTTGATTTCTGGAATGTGGCCCATGGTGCGTGCGTTGGCTGCGGCAACTCATTAACCGCAAACAAGTTAAGGACCAAACAGCTGTCGAGTTGCACGAGTTCATGGCATATAAAAGCGAAACATGAATATGCCTGCTACCCAAGACCAGCTTCCAGCACAAACGAGCCAAGTACAAATCAAAACGGCGTAAAAAAATGAAGGACGGGGGAGCGAAGCAAAACTGCAATAAAACAAGTGAATTACGCGTAGGAGACGCGCGCGAGCGAAAAGAAAAACAGAATAATAAAGCGGGAAAATTAGGAAAAGTATCACTTTAGGCGGGCGACAACAACGACAGCAGCAGCAGCAGCAACAGCAGTCGCCGCCGCCTTAAAGTATGCAACAAAAATTTGCTTAATCTCTGCGCCCAAGCAACAAACTAAAAAGTTATAAAAACTCACATACACAGGGACAAGCGAACTGTGTGCAGAGTAAGATATAAAAAGATAAAACGACTTCCCAGCCCCACAGCCTGCCACAATCGGTGGGGCAAACTTGCGTAATGAGGCTCGACCAAACGGCAAAGGCGACTCGATGACTCGCAGCTAGACGGAGACTGCGATTCAGATTGAGTTTGAGTCTTGAGTCTTGAGTGGAGACTCGAGACAAAGTCTGAGATTGCCATATCCAATGAGTTTCGGTCTCATCATGCAGCAACTCATCTACACATGCACACAGGGAATGAGTAAGTGAGGGAGAGACAGAGCGCGAGCTAGAGAGAGAGAGCGATATCAGCTGGATTTCCCGCACTAAAATTAACCAGCTAAGCCCCGTGGGCATTTAAGTCGGCATCAAGTCTAGCAATAAAATCATCTAACAGACACGAACCACACACACACGCGTACACATATGTATATATATATATATATATATATATGTGTATGTGGCCATAATTTATTCGCCTGCACTTGACAAAGAGTCCCTGTTGCCCTTCGCATGCCTGAAAAACTTTGTCTGGCTGGCTTTAATCAAATTCTAAGAAATTCCAAGTAAAACCTGAAAATTCCTGGTATAAACGTAATTAGGCGCACTTGTATCAATTGCATATTATAGCACGCAACAAAGCTGACTTAATATTTTTCATATTTGTAAATATAAAATACATATTTTTATGAATTGGCAAAACAAATTTTGTGCATGAAGCTTCTTACAAAACCCACGCGTAAATTATCTATAATTAAGCGATCCGATTTTATTTATATTCAAAATTAAAAAAATATAAGTGTAGTCGCAGGTGCCCGACTATAAAATTCCCAGTAATGAAAAAAAAAGATAAGTCCGAGACGTCGTCGCCAGTGTTGAACCCAAAACTCAAAAACGCCTCTGCATTTGCCTCTTGTCAATTGGACAAACATTTTGTTTAATTACTTTAATTACTTAACGGATTTTAAGTAAATTTTCCTGATCCAGAATATATATTTTTTATGGGGTCTGCCACGCCTCCTTCTGCCTGGTGCATACATTTTAACAAAGCCATATATTCGATGTACATATTCGATATGTACATAATATATTCCATGAGAAGAACTAATGCTTTCAACAGTAGTTGTTCAGCTAAAGTTTAAGCTTATAATTACATTTTAATCAATCTATGAAATACACTAATTGCAAATTAAAATTGGTAAATGATATAAAACAATATTCTGAGCTCCTTCACGCTTCTCCAGCTGTTGTCATCAACGCTTCAAAATCAAATTTACACTTGAGTACATTTCGAACCATATTATACTTTCTTTGTACGTAATACTTGGCGAGGGTCGACTCTTTATCGCTGTGGGTTCATCTCGGCCCAGTCTGAGCCGCACTGCTGACAACAAATCGACACTTTTCCTAATTATGATGGGCATGTTGTTGAGCCGAGTTCAACTGGACTGATGATGAAAGCTACGGCTCTGGCTCCGGCATGGTCATGGTCATGTAATCTCAACTAAACAACACCGCACAGCCGGACACTCCCATCAAATGGATGTCGAGATGGTGCTAATAACGATGACGGACGCCCACCCGCCGCAGCCCGTTGTCGTCCTCACTGCGTCTGTAATTTGTGTAATAATTGTGCCTAAGCGTTTAAGTCGAGCGTGCCAGTTAAGCGGCTAACCATTGGCATCTCGAGGGAGCCGGAGCACTTGTCTGACAAGCTGTAGCTGGATGAGGGACAGCAAGAGAGGGAGAGAGACAGAAAGATGCAGGAGCTCTGGCAGCAGCCAAAAAGCCAAGCAAAACAACAATGAAGGATGGCGGCGAAATGCCTGTGGCCGTGGGCAAGCGAATGAGTTAGTTACTCGCAAATGCCGCGCCACACTTTAGTCCTGGGACTAAAAGGACCCGCAGGGCAGTCAGTTTTGTTACAAGAATTCAATGGTGCTCGACGTGCTGCAGAATTTGATTAAACAAAAGTAAAAGTTTTCATCTCGAGCTGCCGAGCAACAGCAGCCGCCGCTTTTGTTGTTGCTTTGATTGTTCGACTTGCTCGCAATTCCCTATATATATATATATATATATATATATATATATGTGTGTGTGTGTGTCTCGGGAGTGGTTGTTGCTGTTGCTGCTGGCTAGTAGTCCAATTGTAGTCGGAATTGTGGTTTCCTAAGCGTTACGTCCACCACTTTCATGGCCAACAATCGCAAAAGTCAACAATAAACAGCAGCTGGCAATTGGTTTAAAGAACCTCAAATGCTCTCTTACATGCAACCTCTTAATTTCGGTGTAAATGAATGAAGGACTACAGCTGGCTTAGCTCTAATAATATCTTTTCGGTTGTGGCAAGAGCTCGGCTCTGTGTTACATATCTTGCCACATAATAATGATACCCGATTGAGCTGCCTTTGTTCACGTCAAGTCAAATTTTCCAGCTTTTAACAGTATTTTCGAGCTTGCCAACACATCGGCCTTGGCCGCCCTTTCCGGAAATTTGAAGCATATTTCCAACTTTTTATTTCTTACTTTTTTGCAACGCATTTTGCCCTTTTATTTGTTGCTATTTGGAATTTTGCAATTTACAATTTTAATTACCCTCGATAATAATTATAATTGTTTTTGCCTCTGACGGAGCATTTGGAGGGTCCTTTGTTGCAAGTTTACATTCAGAATGCAACTTTTGGCTGCCATTTGTGCGAGGAAAAAAACGAAAATTATTTCGAAATGAAACTCTGAAGTTCGTTTTTAATGAACTGTAAGTTGAATTCATTAGCTGAACAAAGCGAATCGTTACAACTATTGTAAGCTATTTCCAAATTGTTAAATAATTGGAATCTTTTAGGAGAAGTTTAAGATTTTTTTCTATATATCAGATACATAAATATTTGTCACCGTCTTTGTTATCTTTCTATTCTATACAATTGCTTGGCTTACGAGACGATCATCACATACAATTTGAATACTTAACGATAGAGGTTGGAAATCGCCGAAGTCATTTTGGCATATCAAACAAGGCCGAATTCCATAACATTATATTTTATATAAACATATCAGTTTCTATCTAAATTCCCTGATGATATTTACCTTTATCATAGATTTCAAAAGCATGTCAAGCCTAATTGTATTTGCCTAAGCTCTTCGGCTTGACCGGAGAGACCGTCTATGCCTTAGAGCATACGTCTGTGAAAATATGCAAAACAAACCGCGCCTCAAAGTCAGTTACCTAGGGCAAGGCCTGCCACGCCCAGCCGCCCATCAAATTATTATTATTACCGAGTACAAAAAGAGATACACAGGCTGTGGAAAAGTGAGAAGTATTTGATATGCGGCAAATGTAGCGCCAAAAAAAAAAAGAAGAAGAAAAAATGAAAAACAGAAAACGAAATGAAAATCAAATTTGATATTATGCAAACTTACCCGCTGTGGCGCAGTGGAGCAGCTGCGGCTGCAGACTGACGACCAGGACGAGGCCTAGGCAGAGGCTGGCGAGGATCGGTGTTGGGTGCTGGGAGCGCATGTTGTTGCCGGGGCCCTCTATTAAAATGCCAGGCAAATTAATAATCCGCGTGCTCAACTAGTACGCCGTCTGGCAGCAAATCGGATTAACTGGGTCACATGTGCCGGTGGCAGGATGCGCGAGTGGCAGCGGCACAGGACCACACGAGCTGCTCACCAGCTGCAGCAGCGCTCAGCTGCGGGTTATGCGGAATATTTTCAACGTTCTTCTAGCGAATATTGATACAGTTACTGCTTAATATGGTTAGTTTGCTTTGAGACACAATTCGTGCCTGTCCAGTGGTTGTTCTAATGTGGTGGTTCAGTGGTGCGCTGCCCTCTAAAATTGGTTTCTTTGCCCTCTTCGCTTCACACACAATTGTGGGCTTAGCGTATTTTACAATTGCACTCGACCAGATGCCACAACTACAACAACAGCAACACGAACTTAAGAGCTGTGCAACAAGACGTGGCAAGTTTTAAATATTCCTACAATGCTGCCTTTGCCTTGTTTTTGTTTCCTATTTTATGGCAAACGCTTTGCGCAAAATCCTGCCCTGATATGTTTGTGTGTTTGAGTTTTAGGCTAAGTTATGTGGCCAACAGAATTAGTTCCCCGGGGCATTCCACAAAACGTAAACTCAGGTGTTCAATAATTTGGCCTTGATAGCCAATTAATATTGTAAATCGCCTGGCCCGAAATACTGGAATTTTGACCTTCCATTTAGACTTAATATGTTTGTCATATGCAATGCATACAAATTAGATAATAACAATCGATAGAATTAAAAGTTTGGAGTTGCTTGAAACTGAAAAGTCTAAAAGTCAATTTACAAGTTTCGCAAAGTTTACAAGCTGCGTTTGATTTTGTAATTTTAATCAATTCAGCATCGTTTTAATACTTCATCAAGTACGCCGTGCCTTCCATACAAACTATCCGCTGATTTATAAAGTATAACTTAAGCTTTTAAGTATGAAGAGGATGTTTGAAGTTGTGGCAAGAGTCGGCTTGCTGCGTAGTACTTAGGCGTGTAATACTGTAATTGTAATACAGTGTACGTGCAGCTAGTAAGTCCGTCAAAGAAATCCAATAACTTTTAAGTCGTGTTAATTTGAGAAAGTCATTGGTATTAAAATTTCGAATTATTTTGCGCTGAAAAGTAGGTTACAAAAAGTTAAAATTAATTTCGCCAGCCAAAATCGAGTTTGGCATTGAGTACTGTAGCTGGAAGCATGTAAAATGGCACTTAAAATTCTTCTTGTCTAAACAAAAATGTAAACTTGTCCAGAAATTCCTACGTTTTCATAGCTGCACTGAAAAATATACTAGAGATATGAGAAAAATATTGCGAATTGCTAGCGAAAATGCTTTCAGACACACATGTAGCTATGAGTGAGTGTGTGTGTGCGTGTATTTGTGTTTGTTCGGGTGCTTGTTTGCTTGTGTGTGTGTGTATGTATGTTGAAGCATTCCATTTGGCCGACTGCCGCCGCTGCTGCTGCTGCTGTTACCTCATCTTTCTTTTACGCTCGAGACTATTTGGCATTAACGAAATTTATTTATGCGGGTGTTTAGTCGGGCGTAAAAGGTGTACATATGGCCAGGCAAACACGCCCACACACACACACACACTTACTCAGGCAAAGAGAGAGACACAACTTAGAAATGCACGACACGCGCTTACGAATTGAAAGGATTTGCCTGCCTTCTGCTTGGGCTTAGACTTGGGCGCGTTGCCAGGAGCCAGGAGCCAGGTTCGAGTTCGAGCTCTGCGCTTGACTCGGACTTTGTTTGCAGCTTGTGCGGGAAAATAATGATTTAAATGCCTTTTGTTTTTGCCACACACTCCAACTGAGGGCCGCGCTGTGGGCAGACCTTTGAGAAATGCCAGGCATACATAAGTAATGCCAAACGGTTACAAACTGGTTTAATGAAGCGTTAACGCAAATGTTAAACAAATGTTATGTTCTGGGCGAATGAATTGTATGCATTAAGGAGTTGCTCGATGTTGCTACTACTGTCAATGTTGTTGTTATTGCTGTTGTTGGTGTTGTTGTTGTTGTTGATAACGTAAATAATACTAAATTGATTGCACAAACAAAGCAGCAGCGGAAGTGTAAATGATTTAACACAAGTTCCCGCCGCTCTCTAGATTTGTTCTTCTTCTTGTCAATTCCTGACTTCTGTTCTCTGCGTTCAGTTTTTACACTGATACTGCTGCTGCTGCTACTGTTTATGCTGCTAAAGCAGAGCAAATAGCTAGGAACGGAAGATGAAATTTGTTGGCCGCCGAACCGGAAACAGAAATTTTTGTGACTTGTGATTTAGTTTATTGTTGCGGACATCATACATACAGAATATATATCTACTATATATATATGTTTTATTTATATAGTATATTATTTTAATTTTATTTCTTATATATATATTTTATTTATATAATATATAATATATTTAATATATATATATATAATTTCATTATAAAAGTATAAAAAGTAAAAAAATTACATTTCCTGAAGCAAACACAAAACCGAATAATTTATAAGACATTTCGTGAGCGCATTTTGTTCAATTATTAAGTATTTAAGGGCAGCTTTTATCTTGGTATAAATAGTCCCTGGCATATGATATCCTCTGGGAATCATGTATGAGCGCAAAATAATTTAATTTAGGTAAGTTATTTATGCAATAAAAGTTTTTTTTTACTTATTTTAGCAATACTTATTTTGTATTAAAGCAGAATGTAAATAAAAAAAAACAAATTTTATAATTAAATGCTTATTGTAATATTAACACAGTCCACATATTTAATTACTTTATAATATATATATATTTATTATTTATTTATTATAATTTATTTATTTATTAGTTATTATTATTTATTAATTAAGAAAGTTTTTTTTATTATTATTATTAATTAGTTACTTTATTTTTTATTTAGTTAACTTTCAGTTTCAAAAGCTTATAACTATTCACTTATTTAATTACTTTAGAATATATATTGTTTTTATGAATTAATATATATTAATAAAGAAAGTTTTCTTATTATTTTTATTAATTTATTTACTTAATTTTTTATTTAATTAACGTTCAAGTTTCATAGTTTCAAAAGCTTATAACTATTCACGATTTTGTTTTTGTTAATTTATTAATTATTACAATATGTATAATTATTACCACTGTAAATTGTCAATTATATTTTGTAATGTCAATTAATGAATTACTCAATTGTATTTATTTAAATTTAATCATTGTATTCACACTATTTATTCACTTATTTAACTCCGACTTCCATCGCAGCTGCGACTGGTAAAACGATGCGCACGCGACACCGGCTAAAAGTAGACTAATCGAATCGAAGAGTTCCTGGCAGATGCTGCTCGGCTGACGCAACTAACAGCTGTTAAGGCAGAGAGTGCGGGAGAGCGAGAAAGCTAACATAATATGAGCCACTCAGTCCATGTTAAGCGTGCAGCTGCTGCTGCTGCTCACACTGACTTGTTTAACAGTGCTGCTGACTGCTAGTTAACATTGACAACAGAGTGGAAGCGCTTCACCGCTAACAGCGCTCAATTTCTGTTAATGGGTTAGTTAAGCCGCGCGCACAAACTGCAATTATTGCGCTTAAGTGTTTTTGCTGTAAAATATTTATTTATACGGTCGTATTTAGTATCTCAGCGAAATTGACCATTAAGATTTTAACAGCAAAATAAGTTAAGCCCTTAAGGTTTCCCCCACCTATTTGAAAGACCTTATCATAATCATAATGACAATTAATCCCCTGCTGAAAGACAATTTGCACAAACGGATTGAGAGAACAAACAGACACACGCACACACACATAAACACAAAGGCACTTACAGCTGCTTAACAGTGCGATAACATTATTTCTCATTAATGTCAAACCAGCAAATTGGGCGGCACACAATGGACCCATAGAGCCGATAGAGCTATGAAATAATATGGGGACCTTCTGCCTGGGAGCCTCAAACAAAAATGGCACAGTCAAAGGCAAAGGCAAAGGCAAAGGCAAAGGCAAAGGGCAAAGACAATGCTAGCAACAAAAATAACTGAACGCAGGAAAATGCAGGAGCATTGAAACTAGGACACACGCAGGCAACAACAACGACAGCAACAATTGAAAACGTGCGTCGCAGGACGACTGGCAAGTGCAAAGCACAGGGATAAGCATGATATGCCAACACACACACACACACGCACTCGGAGATGAACGAAAAGGCAACAAAAAGAAAACAAAAGGCCAAATTTATAATGCAGACATACACATGCCATAGATGTCGCCGCGCCAGAGCAGGAGGCAACTAACAGAGATTGAACGAGTGAGCGAACGAGAGTGATGGTGATTTGAGAACAATGCATTAGAGCGGACAGGGGCGAGGCGAGGCGCAGCCTTTGCATAAAATTCAATTTGTCGTGTGCAGCAGCCATGAATACGCCGCTCAGCCGAGCTTAAGCTGCTGCTGCCTCTGCTGCCTGCAGCTGGCACTGCCGCTGTCGGCTAGTATATAACATAGCTCACAGCCCACACTCTCACTCATTCTTTTGCTCTCTTTTACCCGCTCTTCAGCATTCAAATTGATGTTATTGTTGCTGTTAGTGCTGCTCCCGCGGTTGTAGTTGTTGTTGTTGCTGCTGCTGCTGCATCTCATGCAGCGGCTGTGGCGTAACATATGCGCGAAATTACATACGAGGCGTCGCTGTTGGCGTCGGCGTCGCCGTCGCTGTCAGCGTCGCTCTAGCTATTGCTGTCATTGGCAGCAGCGCTGGAACTGGAACGCTGCTGTTGGCTTGTAAAACAATGGCTGCATTTGGCTGCATACAAGACACATTCAGTTATTAACCAAATACACACATTCAAACACACCAACACACACACACACACACATCTCCACAGTTTTTTATGGCATTTTCAACAGTTAAAACAATTGCACACAGCGTTGGCAAATTAAAAAGTTTTTCACTTTTGTTTTCCATTTTTTTTCTGCTTTTGGCGCCAGCAGTTGATAATTATCGAGATCCTAAAACGTTTGCCACAGCCGCAGCTGAAGTGCCCATTATGTGGCATCAAATGAATGATAATCAGCTGGCTGATAGGGCCCAAGAGGCGCAAGGGGCGTGGGTCTAGCCATGCCTGGCATTTTGTTTGTCATATGCTTGGCCACAGCATGTCCAAAGTTTTAAGTGAGTTCGCAATGCAAGTGTGCTTGTGTGTGTGCGTTGCTCTGCTTAAGCCACTTTAAGTGTCAGAGCAGCTTTTTCAAAGTGCTGGAGTATGACACAAATATAACGCATACGCCATGTGCGACTATGACTAAGTGAAAGTGTTTTTCAGTTTAACTTGTTGGCAATTCAATATAAATATTTGTTTCAATTAATATTTTAAAAGCTTTCCTTAGCTAACTCATCGATAAATCTTGTAGCAATATGGATTTATGGTCTACACATCAGCAAGGCCTACTTGATGGTAACCTTAAGGAAATCCTTATGCAAAAGTGAAGCACTTTGCTCTTTCCCTCAATAGAACTCAATTAAGAAGGTTTTAAGTGTGAGCCTTCCTGCCCTTTTTTTGTTGCATGACTTTTGCACACCTTTCACTTTCGCAAGTCATTAATCACAGCGACGCAAAAAGTGGGCCAACTTGTGGAGGGAGCGTCGCAAGGAAAAGAATTGAATTAAAAATTGCGTACAGATACGCAGCAGAGATAAAAGAATGTGCGCTCAAATGGCTTAGCTTACTTAATCCGATTAAATTGAACAAACGCATTTCTGATTACAAAGCAAATCAAATGAAAATCGAAAAGAGAAGGCAGCTGCAAGAAATGGAAAAATGAGCCAACAATTACAATGCAAATGAAGCTGCAATCGAGCTTAACATTTTGCTGGCTCTTAATTAAGTTACGTCTCAGTGCACAAAGTTAATAGCATGCGAATATTACGTATACGTACGCGAGTCGGCGACCAGTGCAGCCTGTGGGCGAAATGCAAACAATTTACGTCAATTAATTGTAGCTAGTTGCGAGCCGGCAAGCACAAAGCGCGCGCTCGACCGCACCGGCGATACGACGACAACTACATAGATTACGATTAGCTCAGACAAACAAATGGCCAGGAGGCATAGGGTGGGGGCAGAGCCGACAGCTCGCTAAATCTGCAATTGAAAACTGAAAGCTGCAAACGGAAGCGAAAACTGAAACTGAAAACAGAATCTGCAACAATTTGCGCAGCAACGGCAACAACAACAACAACAACAACAACATTTGCTAATAACTGCCAAAGGCTGAGCTTAGTCAAAGTTGCGATGCAAATCCTGTGGCAGCCTATCTGCCGTCAGCATGGCCATGTGGCAAGTGGCATGTGGCATGCGCTAGCTTCGACTACAATTTTCACAGAAGATATTCGCAATTAATGCAAAATTTATTTGATACCCAATGTGAAATCGACATGAAACCGAGCTGCAGACTGACCAAATAAGCATTGTTATTCTCCCTGTTGCTGTTGTTGTTGCAGCTGTTGTTGTCTGTGTTGCACATTAGGCGTTGCCCTGACTGGCTGCCACACAGACTGCATTAGCTTCAAGTGCAATGTGACAGCGGCAACGAGTCGAGTGACAGCATTACTAGCAGCCAGTCATACACTCGTCCATGTCCTTCAGCTACCTCTGTCGGATCTACGCTCTGCTCTGCTCTGCCCTGCTCTGCTCACAGCTCAGCTCGGCTCTCGGCATCTGTCATTTATGCATGTTGACTGATTGATCCGGCACTCTGCACTGCGCTCCACATCTGAAGTGGAGCAACTAAACGTTGCATGCATATTGCCAACTCTGTTCCTGTCGCTGCACAGCGCTTGGCATGTGGCATAAATCAGCAGCAATTTAATTGGCGATTAGCTCAGGTAATAAGATTGATTGAAATACACTGAGAGAGGGTAGTTGATAGCTCTGAAAACATGCCAATCTGCATTCACTCCTCGTTAGTTTTGAGAGCGACTCGAGTCTGTTTGTTTGTACAGAAATAAATAATATGGAAAATGGCTAAACTCTTATCTATGCGAGAACAAGCAGAAAAACTTCACTAATTTATAATCCGATAGAGTTTGCTTTCGTCAATCGAGCGTAAAATTCTAATTTAGTTTCCAATTGGATGCAGCGCATGTCATTTATCTGGTAAGCCCGGTGGTAAACTTGTAAGCCCCATGTAAGTAGCTTACAAACAGTTCACAATCGAACGACAGTGCACATGTTTTACAAATTTAGCCCCCGCTCAGCTCTCTATGCAGTTTGCACTCTGCACTCTGCTCTATCCTCGCTATATATCTCGGAGAGCAACAATTACACATTTACACTTTCGGCCAGATAGACCCCGCATAGGGCAATTGGATATCATTAATGCGGTTAAATTGTATAACCCACTGCTGTCACAGGCTGCTTACTGGACCGAAACCAGATTGTGTATAGGTATAGTCTGTCCCTCTCTCTCTGTGTGTGTGTGTGAGGTTTGGGAATTCTCTCTGTCAGGGTTTCGCATAACAGACATGTTCCAAGTGCCAAAAAAAAGTCTGGCCAACATTTTTGGCTTTACTCGTACTTCTCTTTTCCCTTTTAGTTTTTTTTTTTGGTACACATTTAGCCGCAAGCCCAGACAGCCCAGGCTGAAATAAGAAGAAAACAACAGCAACAGCAACTACTATGTTGTGCTGCTCCATTTGCAACATTTATGTTGTGTGCTGTCGGTCGGCTATGTGTGCGTGCCTGTGTGTGTGCACGTGTGGAGGTCGTTTTATTGTTTCCAGTCAAAATGGTCAAATGGAAATTTTGTTTTTAGCCATTTTTTGTGCGTTGCGATTTACGTATAGATTTAGATTGAGCTGTCGTAGATGTTATTGGGGATTGTGCCGTAACGAAAGGCCGGTCGAGACAGCCAGATGGACAGACAGTCGGACAGCACCAGAGATTGCTTGGCCATATCATTGTTAGTTAAAGTTGGGTTACTGCAAACCGAGTGATTAGAATAATCGCCACTGGTGCCTTAAGGCTGTCTCCCCGAACTCCCGCTGACATCGAACTGAATCCGAATCCCATTCACTGTTGGCTCATAAAATTTGCTAGCCTTCAATTGTCAGTTTTTGGCTGTGTTTAAGCATTTTTATTACTCTCGCATGGGCTTAAGAACGAAAGCTCTCTATTCCCAGGCAAAGTGAATTTTATGGCCGTGTGCATTTCGGTCCAAAGCATCAATTTGGGCATTTCGAGCCAGCACAAAGCCAAATAAATTCATATATATAAAATATGCATGCAAACTTTTCCAACTCATGAACTAGCTGAAGTTGTTAGTTTCGATTTTTAAAACCATGGCAACTTCAGCCTGAGCCAACTCATTATATTTAATTATTGGTAATTAACAATTGCTTACAAGTAGCTGAAAGCGTCTCGTTTCATATTTTTTCAAACACTGAAAATTTATTCAAAGCCTTTTCACCCGCTCTTCACAGTTTTATAGTGGCTGGGGCAGATCCGCTGGCAGGAGACGGCGTTGTAATTAATTTTCAAATTCAACCATGCCCCACGCCAGAAGTCGACGAGCAGCTGGGGCACGGGGCAATATTTAAGAGTTTGTTTGTACAGCAAATGGCGCCGCAATCGTATAATTTTATTCAGATTTCATTGTCAAAGCGCGAGCTGCAAATTTAGCATAGCTGGCAATTTGCGTGTCGGGCTTGTGGCTGCCTGCTGGGGACGGGAAGATATATTATAAATGTGTCTGTAGTGCCACGCCTTGCAATTTATTTGCCCTGCGTAAAAGTGTCCAAAACTGCAAGTCGCAAATTTGTTTTTGTCCTTTATCAATTTTGCACGCTGTCTGCGCAAGGCAAGGCAGTCCACGGATATACTTTATTTATGATATTTGAGTAATTCAACAATTGGTAGATAGAAAGCATTACAGATACGGCACCATTACTTCTGGGCCACTCCCAGAATCTTCTCTATTTCGCAGATGCGATCCAGCACTTCCTGGTTGCGAATCCTTTGATCCTTCAGCTTGTCGGCTATGGCATCTAAGGTAGCTGCGATGGCCAGCAGGGATAGATCTGTAGTATTCAGATCCCTACGCATCGGATATATCTTTGCCACGGGCACAACTGCCGTCGGATCAACATCTGGAATTCGATGAATCATTTAATATACAAGTATAACCTCAAGAAGTGTCCACCCCACCTGAATCGGAGCCAGCTGTTGGAACCTCAGCCGTCACTCCATCCACTGCTACATATGCTCCAATGTTTGCTTCCGCAGGGCTAACTGGTGTAGTCCCTGTTGTTCCCAAAGTATCCACACCAGCTTCTGAAGATATCGCAGCTACCGGGGCTGGAGTCTCAACGACAGCTGCTGGAGTTGGCACAGATTCTTCTTCTGGAGCTGAAGTTGCCACGACAGCCGCTGGAATTGCCACAGGCTCTGCTACTGGAGCTGGAGTTGCCACGACAGCCGCTGGAGTTGCCACAGGCTGTGCTACTGGAGCCGGAGTTGCCACAGGCTCCGCTACTGGAGCTGAAGTTGCCACAGGCTCTGCTACTGGAGCTGGAGTTGCCACAGGCTCCGCTACTGGAGCTGGAGTTGCCACGACTGCCGCTGGAGTTGCCACAGGCTCTGCTACTGGAGCTGGAGTTGCCACAGGCTCCGCTACTGGAGCTGGAGTTGCCACAGGTTCTGCTACTGGAGCTTGAGTTGCTACAGGCTGTGCTTCTGGAGTTGCAGTTGCCACAGGCTCCGCTACTGGAGCTGGAGTTGCCACAGGCTCTGCTACTGAAGCTGGAGTTGCCACAGGCTCTGCTACTGGAGCTGGAGTTGCCACAGGCTCCGCTACTGGAGCTGGAGTTGCCACAGGCTCTGCTACTGGAGCTGGAGTTGCCACAGGCTCCGCTACTGGAGCTGGAGTTGCCACAGGCTCTGCTACTGGAGCTGGAGTTGCCACAGGCTCCGCTACTGGAGCTGGAGTAGCCACGACAGCCGCTGGAGTTGCCACAGGCTCCGCTACTGGAGCTGGAGTTGCCAAAGGCTCTGCTACTGGAGCTGGAGTTGCCACAGGCTCCGCTACTGGAGCTGGAGTTGCCACAGGCTCTGCTACTGGAGCTGAAGTTGCCACAGGCTCCGCTACTGGAGCTGGAGTTGCCACAGGCTCTGCTACTGGAGCTGGAGCTGCCACAGGCTCTGCTACTGAAGCTGGAGTTGCCACAGGCTCTGCTACTGGAGCTGGAGCTGCCAAAGGCTCTGCTACTGGAGCTGGAGTTGCCACAGGCTCCGCTACTGGAGCTGGAGTTGCCACAGGCTCTGCTACTGGAGCTGGAGCTGCCACAGGCTCTGCTACTGGAGCTGGAGCTGCCACAGGCTCTGCTACTGAAGCTGGAGTTGCCACAGGCTCTGCTACTGGAGCTGGAGTTGCCACAGGCTCCGCTACTGGAGCTGGAGTTGCCACAGGCTCTGCTACTGGAGCTGGAGCTGCCACAGGCTCTGCTACTGGAGCTGGAGCTGCCACAGGCTCCGCTACTGGAGCTGGAGTTGCCACAGGCTCTGCTACTGGAGCTGGAGCTACCACAGGCTCTGCTACTGGAGCTGGAGCTGCCACAGGCTCCGCTACTGGAGCTGGAGTTGCCACGACAGCCGCTGGAGTTGCCACAGGCTCCGCTACTGGAGCTGGAGTTGCCACAGGCTCTGCTACTGTAGCTGGAGCTGCCACAGGCTCTGCTACTGGAGCTGGAGTTGCCACAGGCTCTGCTACTGAAGGTGGAGTTGCCACAGGCTCTGCTACTGGAGCTGGAGTTGCCACAGGCTCCGCTACTGGAGCTGGAGTTGCCACTACAGCCGCTGTAGTTGCCACAGGCTCTCCTACTGGAGCTGGAGTTGAAACAGGCTCCGCTATTGGAGCTGCAGTTGCCACAGGCTCCGCTACTGGAGCTGCAGCTGCCACTACAGCCGCTGTAGTTGCCACAGGCTCTCCTACTGGAGCTGGAGTTACCACAGGCTCTGCCACTGGAGCTGCAGTTGCCACAGGCTCCGCTACTGGAGCTGGAGTTGCCACGACAGCCGCTGGAGTTGCCACAGGCTCCGGTACTGGAGCTGGAGTTGCCACAGGCTCTGCCACTGGAGCTGCAGTTGCCACAGGCTCCGCTACTGGAGCTGGAGTTGCCACGACAGCCGCTGGAGTTGCCACAGGCTCTCCTACTGGAGCTGGAGCTGCCACAGGCTCTGCTACTGGAGCTGGAGTTGCCACAGGTTCCGCTACTGGAGCTGGAGCTGCCACAGGCTCCGCTACTGGAGCTGGAGTTGCCACAGGCTCTTCTACTGGAGCTGGAGCTGCCACAGGCTCCGCTACTGGAGCTGGAGTTGCCACAGGCTCCGCTACTAAAGCTGGAGTTGCCACAGGCTCCGCTACTGGAACTGGAGTTGCCACAGGCTCCGCTACTGGAGCTGGAGTTGCCACGACAGCCGCTGGAGCCACCACAGTTGGTGTGGCAGTCTCCACCGGAGCAGGAGAATTCACAACTGATAATACAGCTACTGGAGTTGATGCAGCTTCTACTATTGGTGTCGGAGTTGTCACAGGCTGTGTTACTGAAGGTGGCGCTGGTTCAGCCATTTGAGTTACCAAAGGCTCTGATGTTGGCGCTGGAATTTCAACGACTGCAATTGGATCTATGCCAGGCGCTGGAGTTGCTATAGTTGCTATTAGAGCTGGAGTCTCCACGACCGAGACTGGAGCCGCCACCGTCTCTGCTACTGGTGCTGCAGCAGCAGTTGGAACCTCCTCAACAACGGCTGAAGTCGCTTGCGGTTCTGCAACTCGCTCTACTGCCGGTGCTGGAGTCACCACAGCTGCAACGGGAGCTGCCACCGGAACAGTGGTTTCTACTACTGCAGCTGGAGTCACCACAGCTGCTACAGGAGCTGCCACAGGAACAGGAGTCTCCAAGACAGCTACTGGAGCTGCCGCTGGCGCTGCTAACGGCGCTGCAGTCTCCACGGCTGCTGTAGGGGTGACCACTGGCTGCGCTACAGCAGCTGGAGTCGGCACCACAGCAACTGGTGGTGCAGAAATATTGGCTACTGGTGCTGGCGTTGCCATTATTTTAGGATACTTTTATGGTATATCGTTGATTGAATTCTTTACAATCCTAAGACTCGTGCATTTCCTGAAAATAAACTGTCGACTTAATATGTGCTATTGTCTTTAAGCCCCTTTAGCCCAAGGTGGAAAAGAAAGAGCTTTAACTAATTGTTAGCACCTTCATGAGGATCAAACATGCGAAGGTAGAGGCTTAAACGAGCACAGGTAAGACGCTTAGCCTTGGCCTTCGGAAGGGTCAGTGGCCTGAACAAAGGCAACCTTTAGATAGATGATGCAAGCGAAGCGGAAATTTCAGCGAACTCGTCGTCATTCACTTTAGTTTCTTTTCCTCGATCGATATATTGCAATGGATTTCCTATTGCATTGGCGCCACTTTGGCGGGCGTAGGGAAAAGTCGCAAAAAACTAGGGAAAGACCTTGAAAATTGTATTTCAAATTATGAGGCCTAAAAGGAAAATTGTAGCTCATTAATTTAGATCAGGATGTAGTCTATAATGAAAAAAATTATGTTTACAAAGTCTAATTTGATGTTAATCACAGATTTTATGCTGTTTAACTATTTCGTTGTGTTTAAAGTTGCTTGGTTCTTAAATAATTTGTATTATTATGTAATTAATTTATTTATGCTTTCTTTTCAAATTGTTTATTTGTTACAGCGTCGAACTATACGATTGGAAGAGACACGTTTAACTGGGCCAAACATTGCATTCTTTCATTTTTCAATACCTCTTGTCGCTAGTTTTCCTTCGTCAAGAAGCCCAACGAACGTTCATTGAGAACTTGGAAACTGAACGAATGTATTTAAGCATGCGGAAAAGCCTCCAACTATTGGGTTATTGTGAATCGACCTAAGCGGCTTTGCCCTAACCATTCACAATTCCGTAGATCAACAAGTGCTGTGAGAAGCGCAATAAAGACTATGAAATTTTATTTTTTATTTGGACTAAGTTAACTTAAACCAAATATCAAGGCAACCTAAATTGTTATTTAAAATGAAAAAAAAAAAAGAACTTTGATTGCCTCGCATATCGTTTGCAGTTGCAGTTCAGAGCGCACATAACTAGTTATTTATTTAAAGCTGATTACTTTCTCGGAGTTGTCAACAAATCGTAATGTAGATATTTGGCAGTTGGCATTCAATGCCTGACACATTGACAAACTGCCACGACGGCGGAGCCGCTCAATCGGAACACATTAGCTGGTAAAAATGTAATCGCTGCGAACTAAGAAATAAATCTTTCAATTTTTCGAATGAATAAAGGATATAAATGCAGCCAAATGTGAAGCAATTCTCGATTGCATGGCATGCCACGCCGCCTCCTCAGTGCTGCAAGCAGCTTCAATAGAGTAGCACATGTCACGACAGTCGACAGGAGTTAGTAGGGGCTATGGAGGGGCGTACGGATGCGGGTGCGGGTGGTTGGGGTAATGTGATCTGCGTACAATTTGCTGCCGTCGTTTAAATCCCAACACACTTGAGACTTGATACTCTCGCAAATAGTTTTTCAATATGGTCGAGGAAAGGAATCGCGATGGAGCGTACAAAATAAAATAACGGATAAATAAAGGATGAAATAAAGAATTCATTCGCACAAATGCAAAATGCTGCTATGGAAATCATTTCAAGTCCTCAGACCTAAGGCACAAGGCACAAGGCACATCCGTCGGAGACATGGAGTTTGCTAGCCGTCGCTCCGAGATTGAATTGGCAGTTCAATTTCACGTATTATTGACATTTAAGACCGAGCATTGGATATAAACGGAGACCCGCTCTCGGCCAGACAGCTGAAGCTATTGCCTGCCTATTATTTCAAACGATAAATCAATCGAGTGATGTGTGAAGAGTGTAAAGGATAATCAAAGGCAAGAATGAAGCATGCAATTCCCTACTCCACTGCATGTGGCCAGCTGCTATACTAAGCAAAAGAGAAGCCAGGACTATTTGCTTAATATCGATGGACTATTAATATTGATTCAAACGAAATATGACACTGAAAAGGTTAAGGTAAAAACTACAAAATATTTTATTATTATTAATATTTTTATTAAATTCGTATCCCAGTAATTACTGTCATTTGACACGGACCGCAGGCAAATACAAATACAAATCAGAACTTCAATTTCGCTATAGCATTTCGATGCGATTCGATACGAGCAGTACGAGCTGTGAGCAGGCCTTGAACGCTTCCGGGCGCATTTTGCTAAATTGCAAATATTTTCCAATTCGCATGCATCAGCAGCACGAAATGCAAACAATTTTGCCCAGCAGCCACAATGGGTTACAAAAGGAAGAGCTATCAAAAATGGCCTGTGACCAGAGAAGCAGACTAGTGGATACTCTATAATCAATGCAGAAGAATTCCGAGCATATAAGATATATTTTTAGATTATTTATAATACATAAATATGTTCAACCTTAAGTGTTTGATAACTAGCTAAGCTATCTCTTTCCATATATATAATAATCTTATATTAATATATCTCTATCTCTATATATATTAATTATTCTCTGTCGAAGTCTTTCTCATGTTTCTTGAAATGCAATCTGAAAGCTTTGTTAGGCTGAGACACCCAGCAAAGGACATTTTATTAACTACAGGGTATTTCGAGCGGAACCCATTGAAATGGCTAAAAAAAATGTGTAGGCCGAACGATTTTCCCGTGCTGTTGCTGCAATTTTTGCCGCGTTTGCCAACACTGGTTGCAGCTGCAACTGCAGCTGCAATTTATTTTCGGTTTGATTGGTTTCTTTTTCCATTTTTTTACTATTTTTATTTTTTTTTGTTGCACGTGCTTAATTGCACTGCGAAAGGGGAACTCGGGCGGGACGGAAAGGGCTCTGTTGAAAGGTCGCGCTCATCAGGGGCTTTAATAAATTATTCAAATTAACACGCATCAGTCCGAAAGTCTGACTGGCTGATTGACTGACTGTCAGACAGCTTTGTGGGTCAGTTGCTGTGTGGGTGCGGCCTCTGGTCTGTGCGTGTTAATGGACGCTGCATGCCAGCAGTTTGTGGTCAGCAAAAACCAACAACAACAACAAAAAGAAGCGAAAAAAGGAGTGAAAGAAAATATAACTTCACACGCTGCTAAAAAGTAACACATTTCAGCAAATACACGCCCACACACACCCACACGCTCACCTTTCGACCACATGTTGTATATATAAAAAGGTAAATTTACTGCATATTTCACGCATTTTTATTTGCATTCACCTGGGAATGTGTCAAGGGCAAGGGCCAGAGGGCAAGGAGGCGCGTATTCACAGCTTTTGACACTTGACAACATGATTGTTTTTAAAGCCAGTGATAAATTATGCAGCGCACAAAAATACACTCAGCACACCCTAACCCCCACTCACACGCACACAAACAAACAAGCGCACAAATAACAAGCATCAAATTCCCAGCAGCAAAAAAGAAAATGTCCACACAATCACAACACAAAAGGCCAGAGCAGAAAATTCCGCAAAAAAGGTGAAATATTCGCTTGAGCCAAATTTATTTACAAATGAATAAAATTTAGATATCAATGTAGATGCTGAATGAAAAATAAATGAATTTATGTGTTAAATGAAAGCAGCCTTTGAGTTAAATATGCGAGTTAGAATTCCAGAATCACAATTTTCTTGGCAATTCAATTTTTAATTGAGTTAGAGAAAGTTGAGAATACAATAGAAGAGCAAGTAAGAGTGCTCTAGTCGAGACTGTACAACTAGGAGATACTCTGAAGCCTGCGAAAAGCTTATTTTTAGAATAGTTCTATGCTGCTTTCAGACTTGCGTTACAAGCAACGAATACACGATTATATATTTGAGCTTTTATTTTCACACATTTGTAGTTCATTAAGATTTGCCACGGCTTCTTCTGCTGTTGGAAACATTTTGACAAAACTATTTCACGCACTTTCAACAGGCTTAGGTAATACAAATTGTTGGCTTATAAATTCATGTGGGTAACCTATTTCGGATAGCAAGTCCATCATTGTAGCATTCACACAAGTTAGCTATTCCAGTGAGAGCCATTAGAAAGGTTTTCCGAATTACTAAATTGCAACACAAATGTGCCAAGTTGTTGACTTCAAATATAATGATGCCATATTTATAACTTAATTGGCATGCTGAAGCCAGCTAAAAATGTTCATAAGCTAATTAAGATCTCATTCAAGTTGAGCAGTAGAATTGCTTTTTATTGCTTGTTTTTTTCTTTTTGCATTCCTTTTGCAGCTGCTTGTGGTAAATTAACTTGAATGCCGCAATGTATTTAACGCAGCTGAAGCCCGAGGAGAAAAGGGTTAAAGACAGCGGCTGTGCAAAGAAATCTTAAAAGAAAACGAGACTCCGCCCCCTTTTTGTAACCGGCAACTGGGCAATTCGCGTAACTTTTATCATTAGTCCGTTGGGAAATTTAACGGGCACTTAAGTTCTTCACTCGCTCTCAACTTATTTTCCCAGCTACTATTGTTTCGCCATTTTTTGCGCAATCTCGCGTTAGTTTTTCCACATGTTTCTAGGCGGGAAGAGGTTGGGGGCTCGAGGAGCATTGTTGCGGCTGTCACCTTTAGCATTCGCTGCATCGAGCCAACATTCCGCACCTCGGCGGAGCACGGGCCACGCGGCACAGGGCACGGGACACGCGGCGTATACAGAATGAACACAAAATTTATTTTATGCGCTATTTTCGGCCAGCGGCAAACAGACCAAACAATCCAAAAAGGTTAGCTACATCGTTTATAAGAACTTTTCTTTCAATCTTTTTTTGTATCAACTGGTTTGTTGCTGCTGTGAAATTCTGCCTCGGCACACATACACTTTTATTTGAAGTTTCTTGTAGCATATATTGCTGCAATTTATTTTATTGCATTTGGTGTAGAGTTTTTTAGGATTTAATTTAGTTTGTGAATCGTTTCTTTTATTTGCCGAGCACAGAGAATTATGCTACACTCGAAAATTTAACAAGTTGCCAAGTTTTTAATATGAAGCCTCAAACTTTTTCGATTTGTTTTTTTTTTTTTTTGTTCAAGTCTCTCTATATTTTTTTATGAATTGGTGTTATAAAATGTATTCTTATGTTTTCTAGAAACAAAAAGGTATTTTGAAAGCAGCCACGTTGGATTTGAGTTAAGCCAGTTTTAATTAAAATAAATAAACATAAATATGTCCAAAGCTGAACGTCGTTTGTGCCCTAAAGCTTATGAATTTGTTAACAACAATTTCTACAGGAAACTTGCTTTAGAATTTATAGAATTGCTCAAGGGTTTCTCAAACAATCTGGAATCACTCGACATATCTCATTGATGCAAGTTGCCTGTGCCTTGTTTCATTCTCAGAAATGACTTGAAGCCGGCTTTATGCACGCCTTTTCCGCAGCATTCGCTTGGAATGATGGCTTAAATCAAATATATGTATATCCTTATGTACATCCAAAGCATGTATTTACTATACTGAATGGCTGCTATCAATGCTGTTTGCACCATGATACTGGCCATTAAACAGCAACACTTCCGGCACACACACTCACACACTCATATTGTCATTTCCTAGCCAAATACTCACAGCATGTTACAAAATTGCATGAGCTCATGTCCACATATCCAAAAGTTTTGTCTCTCTGGTTTCTGGCCAGGAGGTTGGGAAGGCTTAAAGAAATGTCAATTACATTTGTCGATGTGGCCGTT